CTCTGGCCCTCGGCCCCTCTCAGGTGGCCCAGTACCACCCTCTGCTTGACTGGGTGACTGTCCTGGTGGCTTTCTTTGTCTGTTTCCTTTCTCTCTTGCTGATATTTCTGGCGGGCCTCAAGATAAAGGATCGCTATGACCGCCATCGTCATGTTGTGGTGAGTGTTTGAAGTAACGTGTCCGAAAATACCCGCTACCCCATGGCATTCCATCGAAACACATTATAGAGTCAAGCCCATGTATCAAAGAGGAAACTTGCCGTTTGGTCCATACTCCATAGTGTACATCCAGTTTGCCTAATACCCATCTAGTCAACTTTGAACCCATTTTCTCTACACCGTATTCATCTACATATTCACTATCCATATGGGTTTAATAAATATAATTTCATCTCATCTCATTTTCATTACATGTACCCGGGGATATGTCCACTTGCTAGTATTTACTTAATGCCCGTTTAGGCTGTTACTCGTTTTGGTCTAATTTAAGTTGGTCCAATTAATGCTTGTTTGGCCTTTTGTCCATTAAGTTTAAATCATAGTTGGTCTAATCCTGCTAGGTCTGTAATTATATTGGTCTATCATCCATTTGATGGTGGGAAAAAATTTACCTACAGAGTGCTAAGGGGGAGGGGGGGGGGGGCTTTCCGGCAGGAGTCAAATATCAGACCGAATATAGACCAATAAGAGACAAAAGAGAGATTAAATATACGGGTAGACCAAATAGATAGAATATACAATGATTACATAGTGTAGGCCAATTGGTCATAGGAAAAAATACTTCATATTACAGTACATAGAAAAAATAGCAACTGATAATTGCATCGTATGAAAGGCAGACAAATTGTCAAAACTTGATGTAGACGTTATGGGATAAGTGGAGGTTGATTTTAGATGTCCTGGTTGTATTAAAACCAACTGGCAACAAAGTAAGTTAAAAAGGTTTCCCATCAGAATTTTTGCAAAAAGTTAGTCTTTATACACATTGCATAAAACAAGTCACACCATTGCATTCTCTCTGCATAGTGTTAATTTCATAGCAGGCTTAATATAAATGCAGATACCAAATGATCTTTATGTACACAGTCCTACATTGTCATGTTCCCATATTACTCTGTCCCATATACATTATACCTACATGTATGTATTCCAAATAAGACAATTCCACAAAGTACTTGTATGTCTAGTGCCAACATGTGAATTATAATTTACTCATTGAATCCATATACCCAAAGTACTCAAAGTGTGATATAAATTTAGCATATTCATTTCTGCGTATCATTTACATTTATATCATGGTTTTCTCAATGTATTTTATTTGATAGGCATATACTATCAAGAGCAATTGACCCCTTCTATTCTTCTTTGTATGGCAATTTTGCAGAAAATTATCACAACAATGCCATTAATGATACGTTATCTGCGGCAACATAAATGTTATGAGTTATTTGCACAGCCAAGTTAAAATGTTACGACTGTGAGCATGGCTTTTCCTTTTTTTTCCCCTCTTAAAAACAAAAATTAGGCCTGTACATTTGCTTTAAGCTCTCTTGTCTTCGAATAAGTTGCAATTTTAAGCTCTGTGTATTAAATTTTCTAAAGTTTTATTTCTTTATTCTTGGCAAATAGATTGTAAAAATGAACTAAGAATAATTATATGTACGATATACATGTATGCAAAGAGTGACAGTTCAGCACTATATTTCAGTTACATTTAGCCACAATATATTTAGTATAGGTAATATTTGTGAAGATAAAACACTGCAAAAATACAGATTTTATATGAACAGTTATATGAATGATAGTCAAAGGAAATGACTTGATACATACATACAATGCAACAATAACCTTGGATATGAAAAGGCTACTTTTAAAGCTCTTTGATTTTATTTTCTAATCAATTCAGGTTTGAATTTGAAAAATTAACCAAGTCACCAAAATGCAATTCACATGTTTATGATAGGACAATCGTAGACTATATAAAAGATATAATTTCTTTAATAGGGAAGTCATACAATAAGCAGTTTAATTCATATGCTCCATAAATTTTAAAAATATACTGCATCATTATTCATGACTGTGTATATATGTCAGATTACACTGAAACAATTACATGTATCAAACAATGTACACATTCATAAGAGCATATCCAGAGCTGCCAACCAGTACGATTTTATCATAGTTTGTACGATTTTTAGAAGTAAATACGACAGTATGATTTTCCCTTAATAAAATAAGATTTTAAATAAGATTTTAAATAAGAAGAAAAAAGATTTCCCAAAAATTTGAATGCGCTTGTGCATTTTGTGTGTGTGTGTGTCATTTTTAATGGCAAGTTTCCCATTGTAAAGTATCCTACAAGCATCTCACATCAGCAATTTGGGGATGTTCATTGGTTCATCAAACACACCAGTCATGACAAAATCATTCATACCGGTATTCAACCAATGGTCCATAAAAATACATTTACATTCTGTTCATTGGTTCATTGAACGATCATTCATGATGAACTCTTGCATATTCAACAAAATGTTTGTAAAATGTACTCATGTATAATTCTTCAAAATGTAGACGAACACAGTCTAACAAAAAGAAAGTACTTATCGATCCAAAATAGGATTTTTTGGGGAAAAGAATAGGATTTTTGTTCAGTTTGGGTTGGCAGCTCTGCATATAAGTCTCCTCCATCTGTCTTGTGTTGATGTCACATACCTTATACAGGTACATATCATTTATCCTACAGTCAAACCTGTCTTAGTGGCCACCTGTCTATAAAGGCCACTTGTCTATGTAGAGGTCACCTATATTGACTCTCTCTAGAAGGAAATGTGTTGAAGAACCTGTCTAGAAAGGCTGCACCACTGTTTGTGTATCCAATGGGTGACCATACTAGACAGGGTTGACTGTAAATGAAGCTCATGCACTCGTATGTTCCAATGAGAACAAGATCAGCCATCAGAAGCCATACATTTACATTGTCCTCTGTACATCAATACAAGTTTGCCAACACATGCTCTGGCATCAATTGCTTTGCATTCGGTGTCCCTCTAGAAAGAAATAAGTGTTGAAGAACTTGTCTGTTTGTGTTTTCTGTGGATGACCATAACAGACAGGGTTGACTGTATATGAAGCTCATACACTAAATGTTCCAATGAGGAAACAAAATCAGCCATCGGAAGCCATACATTACATTGTTCCTCAGTACATCAATAAAACACATGCTCTGGCATCAATTGCTCTGCACAGTCAATGTCATAGATCAACCAAGTTCAAGTAAAGAGGAGGTTGAGTTCTGGGAAGAGGTGAAGAAAAAAATTGTGAGCGTTATCATTGTTATTATGCAAGTGTGGAAAAACATCAGATACAAAAATGTTCCCTGAAAAGCATGGCTCTTCAAATGCCTTAATATTCTAAATATGGCATGTAACAGCATAAAATCGGGACAGAGTTTTATGCCACATGTTCGTGTAGCCCCTAATCCATTATCCTTGGCGTAAAGCTCGGAGCAATTGTCGCCAGAGCCTGTGTCATGTCAGCGATGTCACCCCTCCATGTTTACATCAACATTTGCGTCTGTTTTAAAACATAAACCGGCAGGTTTATTTATATATGTGTGGTCTGTAATTGTATGTGTATGTGTGTGTGTGAGAGGTCATACTGAATGATTTTGCTTTGTGATGCTAATGTGTATGTTTGTATAAGGGTGTGGCATATATGTTTTAGTTGCTTGAGAATCTAGTATTCCTTTGTAAATGGGTGATATTATAATTATGACCATTTAAAAAAAAAAAAATTGGGGAGGGGGAGGGGGGGGGGAAGTTTGCACAGAAAGTAGTTCACATCAAAATTTAATGGCTTGCTTTTCCCTTTAGAACATTATTAATGATCAAAGTATATTGCGTAGAGGAGCAGTATCTGTTACTTTGATCTATTTTTACATTTCTTCTTTTTGTTTTCTTCATATTTTGTTGCCTATGCAAATTGTCATTATAAAGCCTGCTTTTTTAGATTTATTTCTTCTGTTGTATTTTGTGTCTTCATTCGATGTTTATGTTCCATATTTTGCCTCTTTTCTTTGATATATAAGCCTGTTTATTGTCATCTTTTAACAAATCTAATTCACACTATCTTGCCACCAAACTTGCACGATTTGTAACATATCACTATGCGTTAATACACACACACATATATCTATAAAGGTGAAGTCTGTTACTGCATGTCTTTGACAAACCCTATTTTCAATATTTTCCACTTTGTTACTGCTTTAGACACATGTCACTAACCCTCTACATCCATAGAAATACATATGTGTACCTAATAGTGTATGTATGCACATCAGTTAATGTATAATCACTATTCGCTTATGATTAGACTAATACACACAAATTGGCAATAATCTAATAAATTCTTGCATCACTTAGTGATTACTAACACATTTGTAGTGCTAAAATAGCAAATTTTCCTCAATTCAAAATTTGCATATTCTGTCTACAATATTTAATATCATTTGCACAAATGAATGAAGTTATAGAAATTTTAGTTTTGAAAAAGATTGTTTGAGATATTTGATGAATAATGATCTTCAATAAATTGTTAAAGTTTTATTTTGATGCTTGTTGGTTTTAGTTGATTGTTAAGAGTATGAATTACCACCAAAATAATTAAATAGATAAATAAATAAATAAATATTGAGTGAGATAGAAGTCTGTAGTGATGATAACAATTCACAAAATTTGTGTATACTCTTAAATTTTGAACAACATTTTTAAAATGCCAGTTTACCATATATTTCAAGCATGAATTCAGGATTAATGTAAATATTGAAATAAACAATAATTACGTAGTCATTGAAAGATGGGGGTAGCCTGTAATACAATTTTTGCACTCTTGTAGTATAAATTGAGTCGTTGAGTTTAACTATGACGTGTGGTATTCTTATGGTTATCTTTTGCTCTCTCCACCCTTCCCTCCCCCCATTCTTCCGTTCCTTGCTATCGGTAGCAACGGGCTGTCGAAATGGCCGTAATGGCTAGTCGACCGTTTGCAGCGGTCAACGTAGAGGTCAGCAAATCGGCACCACCAGATCTAGTTGCTGAATGCCAGGTAAGCAATTTATACTCTGCTCGAATTTTATGCCTTCTTGCTAAAGGGGAAGTCCGCCCTGATATCAAGTTGGTTTTAATAAAAGCAAAAAAAGAAAAGGGAATGACTGATAGTTTGAGCATTATCCCATTTGTAAAAAAATTATGAAAGTTACAAATTTTTTATGCTGTCATCAATGAATTACAAATTGGCAATAGCATGGCATATCTTGCGAGCTCCTCTTCAATTGCCGTAAAATGTCATAAATTTTCATTTTCTTTGTCATAAAATTTCATTTTCTTTGTCATTGATGACGGGATATTTTTTTTTCATATAGGGGTTGTATAAACACATATCTACAATGATTATATTTAGGGTGAATTTTCTTTAGGGCACCATTTTTTAGACCTGGCTCCCTTCACCATCCTGGTTTTAGAGTCCTAGCTTCATCCTAGATTCGAAATCTGCTGCTGGAACGATATGAATTTTAAGTAACTACCAGTTCAGAGTTCCGACTACAGAACTTTACTCTAATTTGGTAGCATTATATCGTATGAGATGACAGTGGGCAATTAAGAAGATCCCCCCCATCTCAATTTTTATTTTCATAAGATGAATTTATGTTTCTGTTTTCATTATGAGCCTTAGATTAAACTTTTTGAGAAATAATTAACATAAAGATGTACATTGTTTTGTTTGTTTTTATAGAATTATCAAGTACTAGCAGCCCTAGAGCCATGTAGCGACAACAAAGCCGGTATCATGACCGTGTTCCTGCAGCTGCCCATGCCAGATGGAGAAGCGCCCCCTCTTGGCCAACCCCGACTAGCCCTGGCATCGGCCCTTGTTCAACTCAAACCAAAGAAAGCCGAGATGAAGGAGCAGCGGGATAGGGAGAGAGACGCACGGGAGAGGGAGAGGGAGAACAGGGCGAGGGAGAGGGAGCAGAGAGAGAGGGAGAGAGAGCAGGAGACGCAGCAGAGACATCAGCAGCAGCAGCAGCTACCCGTAGCACCCCTAGCCGCAATACAGTCAGACGACGCCCTCTCAGTCAGTGTGTCAGAGGACGCGAGACACATACGGCATCACGCGGATCACGCGTACGATAACCCTGCCATGGTATAGCATTCCCTTCCATTTTACTCTGATTTCAAAATGTCAGACAGGTTTGTCAACAGCAAATGTTTCTTCGTTAGCTTTTCATTTAAAAACGAATCATAAATTCCAAATCCATTTTAATAAACACAATTATGGCTCATTTTCAGCAACTCTTTGCCTTTTATCGAAAACTTTGCAATTTGATATTTTCAGATTTGCTCAGAATGGAATTGTATACTTTCATTTTTTAGAAATATAATTAAACAATCACAATTTTTTTCTTCAGTTGTATCTTCATTGTAAAAAAACATATTTTGATTTTATAATTGTTCACATATTGTTGACATGAAAAGTTACTTTGTCCTGATGCTATGTTCATTTTAAACAGTTTCAAAATAGTAGAGACTTTAATCTTTTGTAGAGGTTCAGTACCCAGGTTCTTTTTAATACATGTACTTAACCACATGTTGAATTAAAACGACTGACATCTTGAAATCAGACTTTTTTTAAGAACAGATATATCTTTATTTCTAGTGCCTGATTTATCCTGTATAGTATATGTGACAATTTTTGTAAATTGAAACTTAAGAATGTATTGCCATTGAAATACTTGAAGATGATTTTATAGATTATGAATGATAACTACGACAAGTTTTGTGTATTGAATATGTGATTTAGCTAATGGTTCATGTAATACAAAGAGAGAATATGAAATGTATTCTTATTGCGAGAAATCCATGTAAATGGTATGTAGCCAAATGCGATTAAAAAAAATGATGTGATTTATTATGAGAATCATGAAAGAAATCAGATTATTTTTTAGACTGTTCATTTTAAAATGGTAGTGAATTTTAAGAAGATGTCAAAAACATCTGTATATTACGCAGATAAACAAGTTTCCGGACAGGTTTTTTTTTTTATAAAGATAAGCTCATCTTTAAATTGTCTACACCGATGTTGATCATTTATTCTGTATATTTCAAATGAAAATTTTGACCAAGATTTTGTCAATATTAAAGCTTTTAACTTTTCTTTTTAATCTTCCTGGCTTCAAATGACATACTTAACACAACAGAAATGGGTACCAGTTGTGTACAAAATTGGTCTTTCTACTGTTTTATCTAGGATATATTCTAGGACTTCTGAATCAAATGATATCAGCCAAACTACAACTTTTGGAGATATGTCTAGAATAGGTAGTCACTCCATAGCAAGAAGAAGAAGAAGCTGGTATTTACAGAGCTGTGTAATATATTAAATAGAGAGATAGAGAGAGAGAGAGAGAGAGAGAGAGAGAGAAATGGAGAGAGAGATAGAGAGAGAGAGAGAAAGAGAGAAGGGGGGGGGGGGTCAAGAATTAGTAATGGAAATTGGTAAGGGACAAAATAAATTTAGGGGAAAATATAAAATGGGAGTGGATGATCAAAGAGGGTGTGAGATATGTATCAGATGGAGTTTTAGATACCAAATGTTAAGTTTTCTCATGTGGAGGTTTCTTTCTATTATTCTTGAAATTTTGAATGAATTCTCAAATTTGTTACCATTGAACACATTTTTTAAAATTGATATGAACAGTGAAAAGGCGAAAGAAACATGGTTAAATGCTTGTGTCATGAATTTGTATTTATGATACTCGTTTGGAGGTAGGTGGTATTAATGTAAAGGGGAAAGTAAGACTCGAAGAGACAAAATGATTGTAATCTATGATACTGAATGTAATATCTTTATGAAGAGAACATGCATCATTCCAATTCTTAGACTGAACTGGGCCTCCGTCAGACAAAGTGTTGTGATTGGTCAGAATCGATTGCAAAGTCCTCCAATAGACCACCTTGGAGATACCACATGACTGTACAAGTGACCCCCAAATATCCATAGATCTTTTTGAACATGGACGCGTCTCACTTTGTGCATTTTAGGAAGAACATTCACTGCCAAAGTGATGGAGGTGCTTCATGAATACTTTTGATCGCCCTCCTGAAAAGAATACTTCCACCTGTGTATCATAAAATGTACCGTCGGTGCATATATGAATATTGATTACATAATGTTTATGAACTTTTATCCAGCATGCGTCTCGATGGATGTTACAGTCTTGTAACTGTTTTGTAAAACAGTTTTATTTACAAATGACCTTCATCTGCCGATGTGCAGATTGTATCTCTGCAGTGGCTCATTATTGGACTGCGAAAGATCAAAGACTTTTAAGTCAATATGGGTCAATTGCAACTCTTAATAAGACAAGGTGGAGACCTACTGTGAATATGCAGAAGTGCAATATTGTTTTTCATACTAGTATAACAGAAAAGCAAGCATTATTCTTTTAATATTCATGAAGAATCACAGTCGAACCAATAACCTGGGGGCCAAAGTGTACTGTGTGCATGGAATTTGGGCCATGATATTTACAACAATAATAAAGTATAGAGTGATGATAATTGCTATGGGATGATAGAATAATGTGATATATACCACTCTTTCCAAATCATGTGGTGTTTATTTTCTACTACTATCATGGTCATGTTGTGTGTTTTAATGAAAAATGCTGCAGATGAGTGTTAAATACTGTCTATTTGTCAGAAATTTATGAGAAATTGTAAAGGTGGAAATTGAAATGGTATTGTTGTGTCAATGTAATGGTGTTTACATACATGTGAAATGTAAAATCTGTTGGGTAAAGGATGCATGGTTGAGATTCCAGCGATAATATTAAATGAAATGCAAAGATGGAATGTGCTTTTAATAAGGCATGGATAAACATAGGACCATGATTATTGATAATGTTTACTTTGATAAAAAAGTCAAATGCTAGGGTTAGTCTAGGATGCAAAATTTCCTGCTATTAATTTAAATGTTAGGTATAGCTAGTCTGCAGTTTGAAAATTCCTGCTACACATTCTCCTTTCTTACACAGCAACTCTCCAAGTTTTATCTATCAGTACTTTCAACAATCAATGAGCGAAAAAGAAAAAAATAATCTTTCAAATTTCTCTGTATACTTTAAATGTCTTGGTATTAATTATACTGATCTGCTGTGGGTTGGTTTTGCTACAATAATGCATATTGTTACAATAATGCATTTTGTTTCTATAAGATACATGTTCTGTTAATTTTACACTCTTGGCGTTTATCATGTTTAACAATGGCATCTACATGTTTATTTTTGGTAATTCTGTATTTTTAAAAAGGTTATTTTTAAAGCTTTCCCAAGCCTACTCACTTTATATGATATATGAAAGATTTGCTTTGGGCAATCATGGAATAACACCAGAGTGTCGTATTACCCAATTTGGAATCTTTTTTTTGGGGGGGGGGGGTGGGGGAGGGGGGAGGATTTATAATGGAAATTTGGCATATATCATATGTATTTGTTCAAAACTTTATACTCTAAATTGCGATTTTCTTCAGCCAAAAAAGAAGGAAAATCACTCAATACAACCAATTATATTTTATCTTTGTGGTATCATTATACTGTATAATGACACCAAATAAAATTCTTTATTTGTATGTAGCCTGTAGTTTGGAAAATATCCAAACGTCCTTTTTTCTGATACAGAATTACCCTACAGACAAAGACATTCATTTCTGTCTCTTATCAGTGTAGTTCAAGTGGATTCCATTTCATGTTATACCGGTCGGTTTTTGTCTCTTGCAATGATTTAAAAAAAATGTTAACTACTCAGATATATTCTGTAAACCGTTACAGGTATGATTTACTCAGTACTAAAGATTTGATAATGCTTTTGCAGAGTTTCGGCAGAAGTTATGTGTGTATATAGGCCATTTTAATAGATCATATGCTTTTCACAAATGCTGTAGTTTTTTTTTATATAGAAAAATATTTTACCATTTCACAAAGACATACTTTCATTCATGTACTAGACTTTGCTTTAATATGTGTTATGAAACCTCAATGCTTAAGCATGCTACACTCAGATTTACTCAGTAGTCAATTCTGATGGCTCTCAGAATCAGTAAAGCTCTAGGTTTTCAAACGATTCTTGGAAACATTTACAGTCAATCCTGCTTTAGTGACCACCTGTCTACAAAGGCCACATTTGTTGTTTCCCTTGAAAATGGGCCCTCATTGAATCATGTACTAAAGGAACCTGTCTACAAAGACCACTTTTGTGTTCCCCTTGGGTGGTCACTATATACAGGTTTGACTGTAGTGTGTTATTGTGGTATCTGGGGGTTAAGCAATTGTAATCTTCAAATCCTTTATATCACACTAATTTAGTTTGCATGTTTTAGAAACTCTAAGGAATAAGCAATGTGAGCAATTTCTTCTAAGCAGTGGGATGCTTAAAAATTACATTTGAAAGACAGAGAACAGAATCATTCCCATTTGATCATTCCATTGCGTTCCTTCTTTGTATTGCATCGTTCATTTTATGTATGTAGATTTTCAATAATTTTAATGACATTTCGTATTGCCTTCAAACATTTTAATTTCGACCTCCAAAAGATTTTCATTACAATTGATATGTTTAGGTTTATATGCGATTTCACACCAAAAGAAAAATGCAAAAGTCACAGTAAATTGTAGTGTTTGCAAATTAATCCTGTAAAGCCATGGGTCATTGGGATACAACATAGATGGTACTTTTAAAGGTCAAGTACAATGTTGATTTTGGGGATACTGATTTTGCGGAATCGTCAAGTTTTGGCTTCGAATGAATAAATTCAAACTTGAAGCAAGTTCTCCACATCTGCTCCAGGTAACATCACAAAACAAGATACACATATTCATCAGAACTCCCTTTTGCATTGGTAAAATAAAATGATCATGACAGCCATCTTTGTACATGTCTGTGTTGCATCCCAAGACCAGAAGGCTTTTGTGACTAGGTCAAGCTAACAGTAATGTTGCTTTTTTACATTTTCCATTTTTTTAAAATCTATTCTTTCTCTCATGTTCTTATCATATATTTTAATGCATGTTATTCATGTCATAGAATTTATAATTTATATTCTGCAAATATTCTAGATGCTTCTATTTTTGGTTATTAAAATAAGAAACCTGCCAATATATACCTGCAAATTAGGAATAAAAGTTTGTTTTTCTTCCGGGGCAAATTTTGTATGTAATCAATGTAGTTTGAAGGCAAGATGGTGCAATCTATATGTGAAAGATGATTATATATTAATAGGAGATTTTAATATGTTTAATACTGTCTGACATTTTTAATGTGATAAAGTGTATGCACAAAGAATTGTTTATCTTGATGATTGGGAGAAATATCTATAAATATTGGCAAAATGAATGATTGAAAATGAAATGATGATGATCTTGAATAAAATATCACATTTTGGTGAAATAAATACTTTTTGTGTCATATTGTGTTGTATTTATTGTATGATAGAAAGTGTCATCATAAAAAGTTGTAACCCCTCCCTCCCCCCAACAAAAATAACAAAAATGAATACCACTCATGAACGACAAAGTATTTTACATTGACCAAGTGTCAAGCTGAAAAGGTCTCACAAATAACACAAGTCACTGCATTCTTTCAATAAATGTCAAAAATATTTTTAATAACGATATATAGTTTCATGATTACTTGCATTTACACAGTGCATATGCCTATGCTAGTAATCTTGAAATGATTAAATTCATTTTTTCACCCATTACATTGATGTAGGGGTTACATTGCATTTGATGTACAGCTACAAATCATTGCAAACAATTTTGAAAGAAATGTATGAACAGTGAAAGACACAAACATTGCAATATAAAGAATTACTATTTGCTTAAATGTTTTACCAAGTGAGCTGCAAAAAAAGGGGGCTAGTCCCAGTTCAACTAAGTTCAACCAATTGCCTGCGACAAACTCCTGTGTTGAAGGCAATGAGAATATAATAATTCATTGACAGTAGGTAAATAATGAACAAAAATGTTGGATTAAATGATTAAACTTGTCTACTCTATAGGCTAGATATGATAAGGTAATAAATAGTAAACCGTTGGGGATTATATGCAAATGTTTGGTGCAAATACATGTATATAATTGTACTAGGAATAATCAGGAAAAAAAGAACAATACTGTACTTCACCCAAGAACAAAATAAGGAATAAAAACAATTAAAAAAGTTGTAGTGTTTGCCAAAAAGGTGTTGCAATAATTTTCTAGATACATCATTTTGGATTTACAGTTTCTTGATTCACCACACCAAGTATTTTAAAGATGAATCTATGCACAATTTAATCACAATTACAATAGCACCTTTCATGTACATGTATAATGTGCAGTCTAAACAAATGTTCAAAATAAGATCTTTTAAAATGAGTAGTGATCTGTGTTTTACATAAAACTACTATTACTCGTTTCACTTTGATACAATATAAAACTTACTGAATTTCATACAATCTCGTCTGGGACCTGCCCATTTACAAATATAGGGAATACATAATTGATGAATCATGAAAGTATGATGGAAATTTTAATAGCCCTGTAAGAAAATGGCTGATAAGCCCCCCCCCCCCCCCCCCCCAAAAAAAGGACCCTTGTCTCAAATACAACATAATAATAAAGCAGCTTTTCTAAATAAAATAAGAAAATCATGTGTTAATAACTATACAAGTGTACATATAATGTAAGTAGGTATAATGACAAACATTATACAGTTCTGGGTATCTAATGAGATAAAAGAGATGGAGAGAAAGAGAGGGAGAAGGAGAAAGAGAAAGAAAAGAAGAAAAAAATGTTTATTTTGACTTCCTGCATAAATGTTACTGAGTTGAATCATAAATGTAATATTCTTAAAATTACATATGAATATTTGAATATGAGAGATCTATGCAAAATGCACCTAGGGCAACTACAATACACAAAGGAAAAAAACATTGCCAATTAGACTGAGTTACATATTCATGAAGCTACACATACTCTCATTATAAGGAGAGGAGAAATAATCAAGTATAGGACTCGTAGGCCCGAATTCACCAAGGTTTGTCGACAAACCTCCTTTTGTTCTTTACAAACCAGGTTTGTAAAAAATGCGTAAAAACGCGTCATATGACGTACGAAAACCAAGGTTTGTCAACAAACCTCCTTTGTGAATTCGGGCCATAGTGTTCTTTCTTTCAAAGAGTTGGAATGTTAGTTTGGCAGAGTGAAAAAAGAAAATTAAAGATAAACTCCAGTTCTGGTAAAAAAAAGAAAATTAATTCTCACAGAATCAAACGAAACTTGCACTGAATGTTCAAGATTACAAATAAATGACATGTGCCAAACAATTTTGGAAGAAAATGTATACTGGCTGAGTAATGAGCATAGAAAGACAAGGAAATCAAGGTAGTAATAGCCTCGACACCATGTGTGTTGTCCCATATATAGCTTTCTGTGTACAGTGCTTGTTACTTTAATACCAAGACTCGGTCAAATTTATTATGATTTTGATGACTCCTGAACCTTGCAGTGCACAGCAATACTTACATGCTACATGATCAACTGTTTCTGATCCTTTCCACACCTTTTCTTTCACAATGCAATCGCATTACCAGTACTAAAGTTTATCTTTAAGCAACAAGAATACAGGTCTCAAGGTTTGAAAATAGTAAGTCAGATTAGTATTAACTGTTTAATTACTCCTCACAACTAATGATTACAATAATAAGAATCAAACGTTTTTGGATAGTGCATATTAAACACATAGGTGTAATTGCATGTCTCATGTGCTTTATAGAACATGCATGTATTACAGAAGGATTGGGAATGGTGCACTGACTGGGTTCATAATTGTGAGATCTTACAAAGCTTGTGCTCAATATATATTATTTGGAACCATAGAGAAATTATTTATGATCATAAGATATGCTTCACAAAGTTTTATACAATACCAAGAAAGGGGAACCAACATCTCATAGCAATTCTATAAGAAAACCCTTGACATAAGTCTTATTATTTCTTTGACTTAGTCAATATCTACATACATGTAAATGTAGTTCTTTATCAAAATATCATACAATTAAACATCTTTTAAAAATATGAATAATTTACCTAATAAATTACATGTATGCTAATATTACAATGAAAATGTATAAAATTCTATAGCTAGGGAGTATGGTATTCCATAAAATATTTCATATGTACACGATTCTTTAGAAATTAATAAATTTTTAATACGGTCCATGCATATTCAAGATAACGCCTTGTTTACACATAACACTGTGACCATCTCAAAGAAACCAGGCAAAATAAATTGACAAGTGCATTGAACATTTCTGTACCTTATTACACATTGATATGAGAGTTTGCTGTCAAGGGGCCCGAGATTACATCCCAATTGCCATTCCAGGAGGGTGTTTCACAAAGATCCTAGCTTGAACTTATCTTTAAGTTGGACTTAACAATTATGGATAGCCCATAGCATCTTTGAAAATATTTTGTAAAAGTTATATTAAAAGGCATAAAATGTTGAATCAAATCATTCATATTTTCTATAATCAAGGAGATTTCATGCTCTTGATGTGGAATTTATGAAAAGTCTAAATACTTGAATTTTTGCTTTTGAATATATTTTATTATAAGGCTACAAATGGCTTTCCATAACTTTTAAGTCCAAGTAAGAGTTAAGTTTGACTTAGGATCTTTGTGAAACATCCCCCTAGTACACATAAATGGGTTATTTAGCCACGCTTGTTTTATTTGAGCGATTTTAAGCATCAAGAATAGTGTGCTATCTCTGCTCATGCACCTTGCATATATACTTCATACTTAATGTCAAAAGTAAGGCCCTGTTTACACAACAAACAAACAGTTACCCACCTCACAAAACCACCAAATCAACAAAAAAATATAAAAAATTGAAGTCTGAAATTGAATGGCAAGTGAGGGTGAAACAAAAATGGCTGCTCTCAAAAAGTGCCCCTAAGCATACCCCCCCCCCCCCACATCTATGAGTTACAACATGAATAAATATGAAGCACTGTCACATACATGTTTTTTCATAACTTTGCTTCAGAAGATTTTTTTGAGATGGTTTGCCACATCATACATGAACAAGGCCTTAATGAAGAGCCTACACAAGATATAGAACTATGTCCTTGATGGGGTTCGGACTTAATTGTTTTCCAAAGTGTACATTATACCCTGACTTGAACATTCTTGGCAGTCTGGGCAGCTTGTTTGGCTTTCGTTACAATCTCTTTGGCACGCTGCCTCTCCACCAACCGCGTTCCGTCGAACAGTCCTTCGTTCCTTGGCAGACCATGGGTACCATCAGCAAATGTCAACAACCCTGAACGAAAGAAAAAAAAAGGAAAGAAAGATGGGAAATCTTTCAAATGTGTTCAAGCTGCTCATCACTTGATTGTACTGAATAATACCCTTACAAATGCAACAGTATGCAATGTGTGCACCCTCTCCATTCACTGGGGAAACTATATATATTCTCTGTAAAGGTAAAACAAAGTTTTGGTATGGGTTCATGAATTTGGTTCAAATGAACATATTGGAAGCATATGCCATTTTACAATATGCAGTGATCGTTGTCATGGTTGAAATAGAGTCTAAAGTGATGAAATTGTAAATAATAAACTCTTTATGTTGTATAGCTCCCTCTCAAGGCTACTATTACTTTAGCTCTAAAACAATGTTTCTTCACTACAACCGACCAATTTGCTATTCACATTTGGAAATTATATATCTGATCTTCATATTCTGACATTTTCATGGTCGCAGCTACCAGGGAATGACCTTCGACGCCATTTGAAATTTTAATTATTCAATTTCTCCAAAGCAGAAGTGTTTTAGGGGCTATATTGTCTAGTGCTTATAATACATCCACAGGGGGATCAGAATATATAAACATTTAAAAGAATTACTATCCATCCAATTTTCAAATTTTCCAAAACTTTGCATTACCTGATAAATACCTTTTGGCATCCTACATGTAGATATTTCCCATGCCACTACCCATTTCTCTGGTGGGTATGAAGTGGCAAATGAAGATGAACGTCTTTCTAAAGGCCATTTAATAGTGCTGCGCCAGGTTTTCGTACCCCTGATCTCAATACATACAGGAAGGTGATCACACAACTGAACAGTTGCAGATGCAGAAATTATATCTACAGATATTAAAGGTATCATGTAACATTTATTGAATCTGAGATGCATGGCCCTACATGTTATCAGCGTCTGTGATATGTTGAAGCCCTAAACAAACTTGTGCGTTAAAATGATCATAAAGTGCCTCAAAAATCTGACTTGACGTCACTACCAACTCTTTCTTACCTAGTCCGTTCACCTTCCCTTGCTTGAATTCTCCTTCAAACAGCATGCCATCAGGGCGTGTGAACACCCCCAAACCATCAAACTTGCCCTGTTGGAACTGACCCTCATACCTGTAAAATAGAGAATAAAAAGATATTCAGGATTCATTAAAAATGAACTCATAATAAGGTTGTATTTCAGTTTCCATGATGACTCATCTCCCTGTGAAGTAAGAAATAAAGCAAATGACTAAACAGATAAAATATAATCTCTTTTAACTAAATGCACCACAAAATGGACAGTCTATTGTACATGTTTCATTCAGGTAAAAATATTACAGTAGTTCTGACTGATGAATATCCACGTACAAAACTGACTGGTATCCAACAATGGCTTTTAAAGCTAAAATCATATTTTTGGATATTAGGTCGAAATTAGATCCCGATTCAAGCCCTACATCTTGCTAATTGGCTTTTGATTTACATCAATCCATCAGCAAACAGTAGAGTACCATGTTCAGAGGACAATATCTTTACAGGTACATTTATCCTATTACACAATGAACAATTACCCCATAAATTCATGATCAGAAATGTTAAACTGGGCATACCTTCATAAAACTGCATATAATATGTAGGTAGATCTACAAATGCACTGGCAATAAAGACATACAATTTGAATTAATGTGCATTTAAATGCACCTTGCCTAGTGGCTTTGGATTTACCTTGATCCATCAGCAAAGAGTAGAGTCCCATGTCCAAAGCAGAGTCCACCGTCAAACTGACCGCTGTATTTGGATCCATCGGACAGATACAGCTCTCCTACACCATGCCTCTTTCCTTTGTTGAGTAAGTTTCAAATGGAGATGGAGGGAGAGAGAGAGAGAGAGAGAGAGAGAGAGAAAAGTAAAAATGTGAAGACAAAAATAAGGAAAGAGGGGTAAAACATGAAACAAGAGGAAGAATTGCTGAGTTTAAATGAAACGGAGTAACAAACAATGAATTTTAAATACTGGCATATTTTAGCGTTTACATATTATCTGAAATATTGTTCTTTATCAAAAAACAAAAACAGTAGTCTTAAAGATAACCCTGTAACCAATGATTTGATTGGGGGCCGATCATCAGCCGATCAGGTGAAATCGGATAACACATTCCGATTGCCGATCAATTAAAATGATCAGAAAATGTTCAGAAAATAATCAATTAAAAACAAAACAAAACAAATTTAAAGTGAACCAATACTTTTTGCCGATACCGATCAAGGGTGCGAGGATGTCGCTCCGATCTTCCGATCCAATCAAATCCCCAACTTACAGGGTAAAGACTACAGTTGAGTTTTTGAAAAGCAGAACTCTGGTAATGTACCTTTACAGGTACAATTATCCTATTAAACGATGAACAATGACTCAGTCAATTGATGATCTGAAAGTTATACCCAGACGTTGTGTGTACGGACAGGTTGTGTATCTACCTATCCGAAGAGTTGACTTTAAAAAGAAATTAGAGGAAAGTTACAAACAATATTTCATAAATCTTCTCAGACTTATGTTGGACAATATTACAAAAGAAAATCATTCATGATGGTTGGTATTATTTGATGAATATTTCTTGTTAAACCCGAAGGCCAAAGAGAAGGCTTTACAAGTTTACATACATGTATGTTGAGTGTCCGGACAACCAAACACCCATCATACTGGGCATTGCTTCACGAAGTAGATATACATATTCACAGACAACAAAGACATAAAATTTGAATTGATGTGCATTTCAATAGAATATGTGTAAATTTGTACTTATGACAGATTTCTGAAACTATGACCAGCTAAATAAAGATGACAAGCAAGCAAATGGCAATTTACAAATTTCATTTGAGCTTACCTTCCAACCATTCTCCTTTGTATTCTTCACCATCAGGGTACTTGTAAACTCCTTGAGATGTCGTCATGATTGCGCTAAAGAAAATTCACCTGAAATGGGACACCAATCAGTAAGAAAATGTCAAACACAAGGACGTTTCCACTCTTAACTCTAATGTCAGAGAAAGAAAAAGCACAGAACGTCGTTAAATTTTTTCACAAAGTAAAGACTAAAGTCAAGAATCTTCTGTCACAGGCACACTGCTGATCTAAAGATGAGTTAGTTACACAGCACAGTTAAAACAGTTATTTTCACATTTGTCGATTTAACATTTAGATACATATCAACCTCTCTGAGCTGATCTCTGTAGTCTAGTCTGTAGATTGCACGTAGCTTAGCCGCTGGGCCTTGGGCTTAATAGGCCAAGCTTCGGTTAGTCATCGCCCAAGTCGTCCCGGTCAACAAAATCGGGTCACCGCGCCCACTCCCGGATGGGTGAAGCAGGAGAAGAAGACGAAGTCTGTCCTACAACTACTACTAATAATAAATTCGTAATATTTCCAGCATACAACTTCATCATACAATCGAACATTATCTTCAAGTTACTGAATCTAAAATAACCTCCTTTGATCTATAAAACAGAGTATAACCAATCAAGTTACCTGTAGTTTCACGGACGAACAGGATCTTGATCTTGATCGTGCAATTCAGTAGTAAATCAACAACTTGTTTTTGAGCAAGAGCTCCATCTACGATGCCAAAAGGAAATTCAACCTTGCAAACTACTGTACATTGGAAAAGTCTGGAAAAAAGACAAGTGGCAAAAGTTTAAATGAAATAGAACAAAAATGAGAAAGTTGTGAATGTTTAAAACTTTTAATCACTATTGGTGTAGGCTATTTAGATCCGATTGGCTAAATATGTAATGTCTCTATGATATATAGTGGCGGACAACTTTCCCTTTTGCTCCAACACACAAAATGTATTGACTCAAATTTCAATTTTTCAAACATCAATGACTCACGAGGGTCTTTTCTCGTTTTAATTATATATCACCCATGATATACTCTGAGTAATGCCCCAAGGGAGAATGCACTTAGGAAGAAAACATAGAAATTAATGGTATTTTGTTAACGTGACCAACGGGGACGGGGGGAATTATATCCTCGACTAGTGACCAAAGTAGGAACACCTAAAGATCTAGTGATGAGATTTGCATAATTAAACATTCATAACTTTCTTATTCTTGATCAAATTTATTTCAATTTTTCGCCAATCTTTCAGCTTTTCATAAAACTAAACTTATTAGATCACAAGAGATGGATAACCCTTGATATCTAAGCTTCGCGCGTGGCCTGCTCCAAAGTCATTATCAGTAATCGGGTGACAGAGCAATACAAAAACAATATTGATCTGTATGATCCAGGTATTGCGCTAAAGATATCAAATTACTCTGATTTATTGTATTACTTGGAAGCCTAATATGGATGATAAAATATGATACAAATAATATACAGCAGTGAGGTCAGGGACGGATCTAGCTTTTTGCCAGGGGGGGGGGGGGGGTTGACCAATTTTTTTCTCCAAAAATCGCGCCGTTTTACAGTTTACTTTTTTTTTCTTTTTCACTTAGCCGCCCAAGGGGGGGGGGGTTAAACCGCCGAAACATCCCCCCCCCTAGATCTGCCCCTGGAGGGCATAATGCCCGAACAAAATGATGTGTATTATTTGTTTTATAAGATGATGTTTTGTTTGATTTATCATAAAATGATGTTTTATAACAAGGATTACTTATCAATTGGAAAGTGTATGACAAAATTGAAAATGTCATTTAGAAAATGGTGACAAAATATCTTACTATTCAAATGTCATAACTAAATAATTACAACATGTATTTTTTTGCGGTTATTTGATATTAGAATCAGTAATTAATATGAGGATTGTTAAAAGTAGTGATTTCTTATATTGTATGTATTTATAATTTGTGAACTGAATAGTATCTGCGGACTTTTTATTCAGCATGTTTTTATTTACAATAAACCAGAATTGAATTGATAAAAATATATAAAAAATAAAGTGATTTTACTAATAACCCGTCATTAGTAAAATTACGTTTGAAATGCCTGGTCACGTGTACGCTCTCAACCAATCATTTGATTAGGATCCGCTTCATCATCTAACTATCAACCAATGACATAGGCGGATCCGGGGTGACCCGTACACGTCGAGACAAAGGTAGACCTACATTTCAAATGCACTGCAGCCGCCCCTACCCCGTGCAGCGCGGTGATGAAAAATCGGAAACTTTATGGCTCGCTGCATGACCCTCAACTCAAAGAGGAATGCCCCATTTTTGTACCCAGGGCATCGGCCCCCCCCAAAAAAAAAGTTTATATTTTATGGCTTGCTCCCCCCCCCCCCCCCCCTTCCCCGGTGGGAACACCTTGGATCCGTCAATTATTTCTTCACACTGAGGTGGGCCAAAAACAAAAGTACTAAGTACTACATATATTATTCACACTTATTATCAGTCTATCATTAGTTTAATGTAGTTATTATCATCATTATTCTAATTTTTTTTCTTTTCTTATCTGTCTGTAAATATTACTATTTCAATTTATTAATGTTGTGCATGTATGTCGGGGACCTCACTCAAATAAACTCTCGAGCTTTCGTGGGTTTAGCAGGCGCGTAGTCACGGGGGGGGGGGGGGGGGGGGGGGGGGGCCCTAAAATTTCCAAGATCGGTTGAACTTTTTAGACCCCTTTTTTTGACCTCGATCGATTACATATATGTGCCCCCCCCCCCCCCCCGCCAAACATCGAACTCTGGGTACGTGCCTGCATGGGGTTTAGGCTATCCTGTTCAAGCTGACTTAATTTTGATCTGTTATTCTTGTATACTTGTTGTATGTTTTTCTTTTTCTTTCCCTGTCCCTTTCACTCCTGTTATGTTATGTCTATTTGGTTTAAGTATTTGTGCGTTCCCTTATTTTTTTTTTTTTTTTTTTGTTCAACTATGGGGGCTGCAATCTACAAGCCCAGCTCTTAAGTCCTCGATCCATTAACCTGTTTTATAATGCCTGTTGTACACTAAATAGACCTATATTGTTAAGTTTCATTGTTCAATAGTACAATGCAATCCCATGTACTTTGTTTTATTTGTTGGAAATGGAAATAAACGAAATAAAACTAAATAAAATGTTGGAAGCTTGGCGAATACAAGTCAATCAATCAATCAATCAATCAATCAATACCCTACTTCCGATATTCAACGTAGATGGGGCAGCTCAAAAACACGAATTACCATATCGAAACAAACATTGGCACGTCATGTTAAATGTCATGTGACAATTATCCACTGTCAAAAATTTCCCAGGCACTACTACTAGACTACTAACTGTTAGTCTATACTGCACTGTCAGGCTTGAGTAAGCTAACTAGCTTAGAAACTGAACATTGACACCTTAACAAAGTAATTCGTTTGGTGAGTAGATGAAAAATTCAGTTATACTATCAATGATGTTGCATCACTCACTTGCATGATTATTTGTCAAAGAATATGAGCTGTGCTGTGACACCGTACGTGTAGGCCTACTCGCCTTTGGCTTTGGCCAGGGCGACGGCGTACCATTGCATTGGAGGTGTGGGTCGCGGCAGTGCTAGCGCGCCTGTAGTAGTGGTAGTGATAGTGCATGTGTGAATGCGAATATGTGGGCGTATATTATTTGGTACATCTGAGTTACGGTGCACACTAGTAGTACATCAACACATTGCATGAATTTAAGGTAACCATCTAGCAATATAGCAATATTTTGTGAGAATGAATGCTAAGTTACATTGAGAAGGGAAATAGTAATAGTCCTGTTGTGATGAATCTAAGTTGATTTTTATTTGCATTGAATGGTGCATGTTATTTATGTTTTAGTGTGGCATGTATACGTGTATGTGATGTGGGGGATTGGTCACTAAATCATGATCTTGCCATCTTGGTGAATTTATGACTTCTTAGTTGACTTGCCAAGCACCTGTGCTAATGCATGCTGTTTGTGCTAGAAAGAGTTTCACTCTTACTGTTTTCAATGTAATGTACAGTAAGTATTCACCAGCAGTTCATGGCTTTTTTTAGCATACTGCTATGAACCTCATTTTATAAATATTCTTTATTTGCTCTTCTGAGGAAGCTACTCTAAATAATCAAATTAAGATGTTAATGTATAATGTCCTGAAAGGCTGAAACACAAAAATATAAATTTTAACAGAGATTAGGAATTTTTCCTCCACGTCCCCACCAGTGATCATTTTCCACAAATTTATCTTTAAAAATCCTTATATTCCTTGCAGGAGAACACCCATTTTTCCTGACAAAGTTGTAGTTGAAGATCATTTTTATTCACCTATGCCTGTTATTTATTTATTCAAACTAAAACTTGTATTTTAAGTTCTGAAGCCTGAACATAGATGCAATTTTTTTATACCCTGATGTGTGTTCATTGTCTTGTTTTCCAAAATATAGGAATATAGTGTAATGCATGTTAACTGTGCACTTACAATCTACATGATTGGCACCAATTTTGTCTTGCATGTGGCCTTCTATGTTCAAGGTGTTCCAAAATCATCCCTGCTTTGCTGCCTCAATATTAATGTAATGCTTGTGTGTACAATATATTTGAGGCAATGTGTACAGTTGAAGTAGTTTTTTTGTATTGTGATATGATGCCTACCTTGTACCGTCTATGACCACATAGTTTTTACCATTAAAAGAGTGTAGATTGTTCTTCGGTAATAAGTGCAAATTCATGTAATCGGCTTGTACCAGCTTTCTAACCTGCAAAGACCTTGCTTGTATTATACAATCATTTTTTTAAAACTCATTTACAAGATGTTTGCTGCTACCACTAGACAAGTAAATTGCAAGGAGTCTAAAAATAAGGACCTAACCCCCCCCCCCCCCCCCAAAAAAAAGAAGAAAATTCATCCTTTTGCCTTTTAATAAGCACCAGTATCAGGAAGGCATACAATATCTGATTTAACTAATTCCCTAATTTGGGTTACCGAACTGTAATTATACATGTATTTGTAATGCAGGCTTGTAGCAGTACTCATGTTCAGAATCAGTGTTATGCAAGTAGTAGATCTCCATGTTTATAGTGTAGCCATAGCAGCCTGACCCATGATGTGTTCACCTCTGTAAGGAATATACAACTTTTTAAAAATATATATAAAAAGGGTGCAGGGCATCAAAACAATGGTCATCTTCTATTACACTGTCTCAGTGCTCAGATGTTAGTTGGCCAAGTGGAGGACCTACAAAACATACCCGGGTTTGATCATGAATTGTGTCTTACACACTGTATGTTTGTTTGATGTTGACGTTCAGTCCCAGACATGGATAGTCCTGTTTGATTGCTAGATTGCTACTTGTACCCTGGTATGTAGACACCCTATTACATGTCATATACACGTCTGTTCATCTCCAGAAGCATGCCATGTGTTCACCTTAATTTTATCGTCCACATCTCTTCAGCAAACTGTGTTCTGTGTTGTTCTTTGTCACAGAAACCCACAGCACAGTATGGCCACTCCACTGAGTCCATTACATGGACCCAAGATCACTGATGGTCTTCAAACACATCTCATGTGTCCCATCCACCTGGACATCCTGAAGCGCCCAAAGACCCTGCCCTGTCAGCACGTGGTGTGTGAGGAATGCATCGGGCAGTGGATAAATGCAAGGGGTGGGCAGCTGTTCTGTCCAGAATGCCACGTTGCTCAGCCACTTCCTTTAAATGGTGCGAAGGGGCTACCAAACAACTTCAAAATTGCAAGTCTCTGCGAGTTTGTGGAGTCCATGATGAGGGTGCAGGATAGCAGTGAAGTCGCAGCCTGCGAAGAGCACTTGAAGAAACCGGTTGCCCAAATTTGTCTGCACTGCAAGGTTCCTGTCTGCGAAGAGTGCATTCAGGTCAGTCACAGATCACACAAGACAGTCCCCATAGAAGAGTTCTTGAAAGTAATGGGTGATCCACTGCCAAAGTTGATGGGACAGGCTAAGAACAAACTGAAAGAGATTTTCACAGTTGTAGAGGTCCTTGAGAAGACTAGAGCTGAGCTGAGAGAGAACTATGAACTGGCTAAGCGTGAAACCAATGATCATGTGCACAAGCTGATGAAGATGATGACCCAAGCCCATGTGAAAATGAATGGAGAGATTGAAAAGAAATACAATGAGAAAGAAGGTGCTCTGATTGCCCAACTGGAAATGCTATCTAGTGCCAGGGCAGAAATATCTGAACTGATTGGTTTGCAACATCATTCTGAAGAGGAATCAAGCATGACCAAATCTGTGATGACTGCTTCTGGACAGCAACAATGGAACAAACTCAATCAAATGTCTCAACAGGATCTGCAGCTTGCCCCTAGACAAAACAGCGTGATATCAGTTCAGTGGGACAAGGATCTTGAGATTGCTATTCAGAGGGAGACCTTGGGCGAGGTTGTCACAAAGCCAGTGCCGAATAGCCACCAGAGTGCCCTTTCTCTGTCAACATCCCGGGCTGTGCTCCAGTCAGAAGTCAAGATTCAGCTGGCTCTCAGAGATGCTGTGGGCTCCCCTATTGAGACAAGTGATATGTCGTCTCTAGTTGCAACCATTTCAGCCCCTGGAAGTTTCACAGGCCATGTCCAATTCACACAAGGAGAAGCTAGTGCTGCCATTGCAACCTTTACACCCAAGTACATTGGCAAGTACAGGATTGAAGTTGGGTTGTTTGGGAATCCTGTAAAGAATAGTCCTCTTAACCTGATAGCTCAACCAAGAGGAGCAATGAAGATCAATGAAAGATGTAACTTCAACCAGCCACATGACATCATCCAGCATGATGACAATTTCTACATAACTGACAAAGGTAACCACCAAGTAATCATCATGGACAAGCAGTTTAAACAGGTTGGGAAGTTCCTGCTGCCATCTGACCCTGCAATGGCCAAGTTTGATCCATATGCAATTGCTTACACCGGGAAGACCTTTGTGGTCACTGACCTGAAGCATAAGTGTGTCCTTGAATTCACCAACTCCACCTACTTACAGCGATTTGGCCAGGACTTCCTCTCCAATCCTACGGGCATAGCATGTGACAAAGAAGGCAAAGTATATGTTGCAGATGGCGAGAAGCATTGTATCGTGGTCTTTGACCAACTCCGAGAACGTATCGCTGTCCTTGGTGGGCCAGGTGCCACAAGAGGACAGTTCAACAACCCATGGTTCATTGATGTCAATTCCAAAGGAGAAGTAGTTGTTGCCGACTTTGGAAATCACCGCATCCAAGTCGTAGATCCTACCAAGGACACAGTCACAAGACTCATTGATATCCATCATAACCAGAAGATCTGGGATGTACGCGGCTTAGCTGTGGACAGGAATGACAACATCTACGTCACCGTCCGCCAGAATGGCAACATAAGAGGCTGGAGTACAGAGACGGTGATAGCCTACAGTCCAGAAGGAGTACTTCTGGGTAGCTTCGGAGAGGGATTCAACTATGCAAGGGGCATGACTATCATTGAAGATGAGGAGAATATGACTGTAATGGTCGTTGATGGAGCAAATCATCGCATCAAAGGATATCTTATGTAGCCTTTGAACAAAACTATCTAACTGTGTCAGTTAGCATTAACTTGCCATTTAGGCTCATTGTACACTGGAGACAAACATGGCCACACAACACAAAGTACATAATGTACTGTAGTAAAATCGCAATCATCATCATTTATTAAAGTTAGCATTTTTCCTCTGTTGATGTTTTACTGACTTTCTCAACACTCCCATCATCCTTCTTCTTGGCTCAATGATCGTCTTCGTTTAGAGTGGACCTACCTGTTTTAATGATATTAATGATTATGTAAATATATTAAGATATTTCTCTAATTGGATCATGAAACTTTACAAAGATATAGACATGTGCAAACAGTACATACAAATATTGGACTAAAAATAGTATTATTTTCATGGTACCATTGAAGAGGAAGATCTGCTTTGATTATCAGGAAGCATGAAGTGATAGTGATGCTGTACAGAGTAGAGACTCAGATGAAATTTATTCTGTGTATTGTGGCCACAGAATGGGGGTGGGGGGGGGGGGGGATAGGTCACTTGCACACGGTGCACCTCACTTATGGAATCAATTGCTACATCATATCCGTTATATTTCAAGTGTAGATTGCTTTAAACATGCCCTCAAAACTCACTTGTTTAAAGCGGATTTCCAGTAGACTTAGATTTACTTTCACTTTGTTGTTGTTCATTTTTGTGTGTATTTTTGTGTACAGTACTTATAGTTTTTCTTCTCCATGCGCCTTGAACACATTAGTCATGTGGAGTTGGCGCATTACAAATACTCTACACTGTATATTATTATTATTATTATTAAATCACTCCTTTACATTGGATATTTCTGTCAGAAGAGTAGTATGCTCAACAAAGTTATTACATGCTGAGGAGAGTTAACATAGTAGAATATGCTCTCACAAGCTGCAGTTCTTTAGAGTAGTCCAGAATCCACGAAATCCTGACGAGTGCTATTGTAGAAAGATGAAAGTGCACAGAGAAGCTGCTAACTTTATGTAGGTGTAGATGTTGACTTGATGCAGGATGAAACTTTGGTGAGGAATCGGTTTCATCACTAAGGGTTAGTATGGGTTGTTTCAAAGGAAATCCAACCCTTATAGCAAACAACTCTAAAAGAAAGCAGGAAGAATCTTAGAAGCAGACTGGTGAAAGCTTGAACAAAATCTGACAAAAAAGAAGAAAGTTATGAATGTGATGAAGTGCTGGAAAACTTTCCCATTCGTCCCAACAAATAAAATAACTAAAATTACATTTTTTCCAATATGTGTGACTCGGGATGGTCTTTTCGATTTAGAGGACCTGTAATAATATACTCTCCATAATATATTTTGAGTAGTGGCCCAAGGGTGAAAGCACTTGGGAGAAAAACAGAAATCAGCGATACTTATGTACATGACAAATGGGGGAGTTAAATCCGTGACTAAGGTATGTCACCATCCACGGACCAAACTACCAACTTGAAATTCGCATCAACTTCAGTGATGTCATATTTCAAACATTCAAAACTTTCTTCTTATTGGTCCGATTTATTTCAAACCTTTTTGCCGTTCTGTTTCTCTGATTGTCCATTTTTTATTCAAATGAACTTAGGAATTTCCCTTGAACACATTGCTCACTCAAATCTGGATGTTCCATGTATTTAGTGTATGATACCGGTAGTTAAAGGTTAGGGATCTTGCTGGGTGTTGACTGTTGATGATCAATGGCGATCAATTGATGGACCAGTTTAAGACGTTTTTGCATGATATTGATTCAGGTATTTGTACCTTACATGTATACAAATCAATTTTGTTTTATTTTGATTTATATTGTTGGTTAAGAACCAAATGGTTGTGTGTTTTTGTGTACGCGCGCATGTTTGTGTAGAATGATATTGTAAATGTGTTGCTCAAATGAAATTTGATTCAATTGCATGGACATCTTACTGAAATTTTCTGTCCTTCTAGGATATATTATATATACTGTATATATATATTTTTCATTCAACACACTTGTGTAAACATTCCAATCAAGTAAATTGTCAATGTCATTTTATATTGTCACAAAGTTGGAATATCCATATGATATCTAATCTTGGTGAGCACATATCATACTATTATTTGTTCACCTTGAGAATAATGTCAAGTGTTCTCAGTATATGTTCCAGCATTCAGTACTCTCTACACATACCTTGATTTAGGCAGAGTGCAACACTTGGAATCATTAAACGATTGGAGCAAGCAAACAGGCTTTAAATAAGTTGTAGAAAAAGATTGTACCGGTAATGAATATTTAGCTGAATTTTAGAAAAGATAGAAAGAGATTTTTTTCTGAAATCCTATTACAGCCATATCAATTATCAAATATCTTCTGTACTTGTGTAGGAAATATTCTTAAAGCTTTCTTTAAATTATCACCAGCAAATTGTGAATAAGTGTTGTGAAGAAATAATCTTAAGCCATGTCAAACATATATTTTGTACATGTGTAAGAAGCATTCTTTAGGCTTCCTCTAACATATAACCAGCAAATTTCGATTAAGTGTTCTGAAGAAATAACTCAATTTTTATAGAAGAAGAATAAAATATCTTGCCAAGAATGGAGTGAATCGATAGATCATAAAACGCTTTTCTTTTGCCTAGTTTTTTTCGTTTGATACTTTTTTTCCTCCAGCAAATCTTATTCAACACTACAGTTAATCAACTCGTGGGCATTGTACATGTATTATGAAATCATCACAAGTATGTTATTTGCTGACATCTCATTGGTACACAAACATGTATTGAAATTATCATGCATTTCAAAGGCTTTTTTCTGGGCTTATGAATAAGAGCAATGATCTACCGGTGCATGATATTTGTCATGCTTCAATTGATTTTTTTTTCTTCATCATAGTGTACTGTAGTTACTTAAAGCAAATCCTTAACTGAAACTCTATACATTATGCTTGCGCGTCAATTTACTACACTGACTGGGGAAATGCTATTAGCCTGCATAATGGGTGAAGATTTGTTATCTCATACTTAGCAAATATTGCATGTGATGCTGTGTATATAGCAATATGCGCTATCAATGGCTTCTGTTTTATCATTCATATTTTAGCTTCTATCCTTGATACTTCAAACCTTTCTTCCTCTCTGTAAATAAATGAAAAGCAAACAAGATATTTGAGCTTGAGCCAAAGGTCTCATTTTTGAACCGGATCGGGTTATATGTGCTGGTATTGTACATCTACAGTTCTCCGTGTTTTATCCACATTATTGTGAAAGGCAGGTTGTTTGTTGTATTGAAGTCATTTGATGACCAATTTCTTGGTTATTTTTCATTGCAGTAAGAATGTTAGTAATGTGCCATGGAGAGATGGAAGTCATAAGCAGATGCTAGATAGGTATCTCTGTACTAATTGTCTTACATTTCACTTACATGTTCATATTTTTTTCCTCTTGATTTTTTTATGCCTTGGTTATGTTTTCTACATACATGTATTTTGTGGAGCTGCAATGCACATAATAATATCAACTCATTTCTGTATTAATGTATACTCAGTACAGTCAAAGGTTGTATAGTTGACCTAGTTTTGAGAGTAATTATTAGAAGAAAAACATTCATGTAAATTGTGTAAGAATGTTGGATGTTTAAAAATAAAAATGTAGGGTACATATATGTAATAATAAAAAGATATCTGAAACATAGGTTTATTTCCCTCTTACAATGTAAGAACATCACCACATATTAGATTATAAATGCAAGACAATACTTAGCCATTTGTATAGGATATCATCTTATATTACTTTGTCCTTAAGGAAACTAATGACTCACAAGTCATATATATTTATACATGTTAATACAAACTAACAAACGATTTTAGTAACACATTGTCCCAACGAATATCACAAGCAGACTTTGCAGGTTTCTTGTGTTATTGTTGAAGCAAAGCGAAAGTAAAACCATTTAAGACATTCCTTGCTCGTGTGACTGCCAGAAAAATGTCTTGTGCAAAGATCAAGTTCAGATTTGTCATTTAATTCAATTTACATAGGTTGCTGTTTCTTTATGTGTTTTTTTTTTTAAATTATGCTTACCGGGTATTCTGGAGCTAAATCCTGTGATTTAATAAATTCATGCGCTGCTGCAATAATTATTTTAAAAAATCTTGAACTGTTTTATTTGTCAGAACATCAACATAAAAAATATACAAAGTGTGTGTTTCATTTGTCTTGTAGAAAATAAATAATAATGCTGTTGTACACATTTAAAAATTTAACTTTGAAAACTTCGGACAATAATTTAAGCCGACGTATATCGTCCTCTTAAACCTTTGGAAATTCCTCAAGAAATTAGACATACTTATTTTGACATGTTTGACCAAACGATGCAATGGGATTTCCCGATATTGATGGTTATTCACCTGTGTATACTTTACTTTTAACAGTACACATATTTGCCTACATCGTATACGGTAGGCCCGCGTAATGTTATTTCAATAAAGTTACGACGAAACAGGTCCATTCACCGGGGGGGGGGGGGGGGGGGGGGGCACCGATTTTACTATGTCGGGTTGTTTTTATTTGTGTTATGAAGGGGGTGGCAAATGCGAGGGAATGAAGTTGCATTGCATCCGTAAAGACTTATCAGGACAATTACCCTTTGGACAATCATCCTCGTAAAGTTACCCCTCCCCCAAGGACTTTTGCTCTCTTAAATGATAATTCATTTTGTTCCACCCTTCCATTTTTAAAATAACTTCTTTAAAGCTTATCTGCCATAGTTTACAGGAGGGATTAGAGCGCCCTGCAAGGTCACTGGACAGGTGGTTATCTCATCAACTCAGCTCTCAGTTAACATAAGAAAAAGAGGATCATGGGGGACCAATGGTCACCGATTAGGCATTGTTTGTTGTAAGAGGGCGCAAGTAGCTACGAGTAGTGCAGTGGGCCTTTAAAGCGTATGTGAAGTAGACTAGAGAGGTTGGTTTTCCCCAGCACCATTATTTCTTTCTTTCATGATGTTGTGTATACGCGATGAAACATACATGTACCTCATTCAATAGACATAATGCATGCAAACACAATTGTATTGAACTATATTGCTGTTTAAAGTCTAGCACATATACTTGTCGTGTGTTTGCATTAATACTAATTCTGTCATAGTCAAACGTTGCCTTCAAATCATCTAGTGCAAACTGTGGTAAGCCACTTCGAGTACTATAGATTCGAATTTTAGTGTGAGTTATTAAATATCGGAATTGGGAGCTGATTTTTACTCGGATCAGTCATGACCAGAGAGATAAATATTACGTGTATATATCTATGGTCATAGCAAAGATATTCTAACATGTGTGTGTCTGTTATCGGAGGGGGGGGGGGGGGGGAATGGGGTAAATGTCCGATGAGGTAACTTTCCGGGGGGTTGTTCTCGGCGGGGTTATTGTCCAGGGAATAGTTGCCTTGATCCCCTTATATTGAGCGTTGGTGATTATAACCCGAAGCAGAAATTTTGCACTCTTTTGAATGATCATACATTTTTTTTCCACGCATTTATTTTGAAAATCACTCATTTACAGCGTCTTTGAAGTAGACTAGAGATCTTTAGTGGGTTTTCCCCAGCAACCATCTTAAAAGAAAATACCATGCTGTGTCTGGTCTGTGATCAGAATTTAACAGACGTACATGTACCTCATTCAATAGAGACATATCATGCATGCAAACACATGTATATAATTATATTGCAGTTCAAAGTTTAAATCATCTGTACTTGTCCGTTCGCCGACATACTACCGATTCTGTCACTGTTAAACGTTGCCTTCAAGTCACCAATCAAATTGTGAACTTTGGTAAGCCACTTCCAGTATGATATAGATTCGAATTTGAGTGTTATCTTATTAAATATCGGAATTGAGAGCAAATTTTGACTCGGATCAGTCATTACGAGAATGATCATTGGTGCATGTATATCTCTATGGTGATAGCAAACATATTCTAACCTGCATGTTTGTGTTCAGTTATCAAAGAACATCAATCAGGATCACAAATCACTATTATTAGTTATGTTTATGGCGGGAGACGTCCGTATATACGCGATAATATTGGTGTGCAAAAAGCAATCCCAAGGTTCTTGCTATTTGCTTGTCAGAATATATGAATATGTGTCGGTTGTCAGTTTTTGTACTTGTTAATATCGGTAAAAAAAACCCGAGTTACAAGTAAGATGTATGAGTTTGTAGACATAGTGCAAGTCTGGTTTGCGATAATTGCTCTGTTCTTGTGAAAATGCTACATGTATTTTCCTGCAATAAAATGATAAGAATTTGGTGTTTATCAGAATAACAACCCATTTTTTAACGCCAAGGGTCGCAGATATTTGGTTCACCATCATACCCAATTAATGTGTATTAAAAAAGTTTCGTGATCATACATTCTAAGACATCTTCAACATAATATTGTAGTATGCTAAAAAGAAACCTGTTTATGTTAATCACCAATCACTCCATCGAGCCAAAGTTACTTTTAAATTGAATTTAATAACAGAATTGTACATGTGCATGTTAATACACGATTTACAGAGGATTGGGGGGGGGGGGGGGTGGGGGACTCTACTTGACAAAAGGCCGGCGGCTTCTTGGGCTGGAGCCTATATGAAAGGAAATTGTGAGCAACAAAACCAGCTGGTGCCGTATTGTTTATTTATACATCATTTGTCGGTAGGCGTTCTTCAACATAATTATTAAGTTATAGTACATCATGGTAAATGCCGTTCCAAAAACAACTTTTGAAGAGGTCACTTTTTTTTTTTGATCCCAAAAAAAAATCGCAACGACTCAGCCGACCGCTGAATAAGCGGGGGGGGGGGGGGGGGGGGGGGGGGGGGGTTAAGAGGACACATTTTTTTTTTTTGGTCTCAAAATTTGAAATTTTGCTCCGTTGGGGGGGGGGGGTAAGGTCAGCTTTTTAGGTCAACCATGGGAATATTTTTTCAAAAGGGGGGGGGGGGGGGGTTTAGAGAAATTTAGGGGGGGTTTACACACAAAAAAATTACAAAGAGGGGGGGGGGGTGAGTGGTGGGGGGGGTTAACCCCCCAAACCCCCCCCCCCCCCCCCCCCCCCCCCCCGTGTACACGCCTGCATACCGGTAATCATATCTTTGAAAATTGAAATGTTACCAAAGTATCTTTGTTTTAATTTAAATATGATTATTCTTGTTTTACAGATGCGATGGCGTCCGGCGTGCCAACACCTGATGTATTGAAATCAACGGTTAGTCTATCAGCAACAAACAGTAAGGTGGGATCTAAGGTCGAGGTCCATTTAACCCTCCGTGGAAGCCGAGGGAATCCCATGGTAGGAGCAGGTTTGATGTCCTCTGTAGATGCCATTGTTCAATTACCAAACGGGAATACTGAGCGTATCGAATTCCCCGATGCAATACCCGCCGGTGGTGTTTGCAAGGCTCTGCTGTGGCTGAAAAATGTAGGTGTCCATCAGGTCTGCGTAAAGATCTGCGGCGTTGAGGTGAAAGGAAGTCCTGTCAAGGTAGTAGCGGGGATCCGTGGAAATCTTCTGAACACTTACAAGCCGCCCATGAATCAACCCCATGATATCATACAGCGTGAGAACATCTTCGTGGTTACGGACAAGTCCAACAACCAGGTTCAGGTGTTTGATAAGAATTCCGTCCTGCCAACAAGTTCTGTTCGCCTGAAGATAGCGACATGGGCAAGTTTGATCCTTATGCCATTGCCTGGACGGGGGAAACCTTCGTAGTAACTGATATCACTAACCACTGTGTAGTCGAGTTCAAGAACTTTGTCCCGTTTCAAGTGTTCGGCGGGAGACTCTTCAGCAACCTTGCGGGATAGCGGCGGGTAAAGATGGCTCGGTGTACGTGGCAGACGGTCAGAAACACTGTATCTTTGTCTTCGACAAGCATCGAGAATGCACATCCATCATCGGCGGTCAGGGGTCAGCTCTCGGGCAACTGAACACGCCGTGGTTTATGGCGATGAACTCGAGGGGTAACCTGGTAGTTGCCGAGTTCAAGAACCGAAGGGTGCAGGTGTTCAATCCGAAGAGGCGACAGGCTGTTAAGATCATTGACGTCAAACACAATGGCAAGGCGTGGGACTGTAGAGGCCTTGCGTTGGATCAAAACGACAATGTCTACGTGACCGTCCGCAGTGGATTCATGCGAGGCTGGAGTGTGGAATGTGTTCTGGTCTACGCTCCAAACGGAGATTTCCTGGGAAATTTCGGAGATGGATTCAACTATGTCCGAGGGATTACCGTCGTCGCAAAGGGCCAGAGCACAATTGCCTATGTGGTCGATGGCGCGCACAACCGCATTGTAGAATATGAGATGTAGAAAAGTTGTCAATTGTTCATCAGCATCAACAGTATCAAAATAATCATCAACATCATGGTCAACATTATCATTCATTTCATCAACACCATCATCATAATAATAATCATAATTACAGTCATCTTCATCATCACATCTCCACCACCACTACTATCACCATCATCATATTTGATATCACCATCGCTTGTTTTGCTGGATTTTTTAGCATACACTTTGTTAAATGGTTACTCTTTGAAGAGGTTAGTAGATGATTCAAAACTTATTTTATTTTGCAGCTTCATATTTCATTCTGCAGCTTTTTTTTTACATTCTGAAATAATCACAGTATAATTATGGAAGCTTTAGAAATTTGCAGTTGATGTACATGTATTTGTGTTCGCGTTTTATAGTACTATTGGTGACGGTGTAATGCAATGATGTGCAGACTCTTGATCGAACAAATCAACTCACTTTTTTGATACATTTCTCTCATAGCTGAATATGATATTTGCAATTTGCATAGAACTCATCAATACATCGGGAAGCCTTATTTTAATAAACTGCAATTCTTTTTGGATATACTTTTTGTTGTTTTGTACGCAACATTCGAGGGAAGAACAAATTGTGATTCAATAACGATTTTGTTGTTGGAGGTGGTTCGACTGTTGAGTAAAAGTTTATCTTTTATCTTTATCTCGTATGTATATCTGACCGCTGTATATTGTGACGAGTGCACCTAGCAGCTCCGACACTGCCATTCTTTGTGATATGGGCCTATCTTCATGCTACAAAATCGAGATTAATTGTATCTTTATAGTAATGTCGTGTGTGGGTTTATTCTCAATTTAATTCTTTGTTCGAAGTTCATGTTTATTTTAACGTGAAGATAACGCGATTTTATTGACTCTCAAGAAAGCTCAAGGGCATTTTCGATATCCTTTTGTATTTCACATAAAAAACTTGTTCGACTAGGCAATACGTTATTTTTAATATTTGCACATTTCATTGTTGCCTTATCAAAATTGCTTTAGTTTTCGTTTTCGAAAGTGTTTGTGAAATGTATTATTATCATGTATACCACTGATAACATTAATGTGTCAGTACTTGTTGATTCATCATCATATATGATATATATCGGTTTCATAATAAGTACTAATCGCTAGTTGTTTGCCTTTGAAAGGTTTGTACATATTAAATTAATTTTCTATTTACCGAGTAAATCATAGCTCATCCACTGACGATCAAATTAGTGTTAGATATTTGTATTCGTCCCTATACTTAGGACTGTTCTTTTTACTGAATATAATTCAAGATTTCAATGTAATTTTCCGTTTTCAGCTTTTGGGTGTAGAATCTGACAGTACTGCCATTTTGAAAAAAGGAAGAAAAAAAAAGCATATAATTATATACGTGTTTTACCGAAAAAAAATTGTAGTTCTATTATTAAAGCAAGCATTTAATCAAGTCGCCTGTCGCTCCCTCAATTTTTTTGTATTCCGTCTGCTGATCGTCAAAAGTCTACCGTTTATTCATTATAATGTTCCCTTTCTGTAAAAAAATATGATTGCGAATCATTCTTACTAAAGCCAAAGTCATAGTCCGCTAGAAGAAGGATGAGGAGAATTTCAATACTGTATTTTAAAGAGGACTTGGTTTCATTTAGCTGGTCCCCGAATTAAGGATTATGCGTCACTTATTCCAGTGTTCCCAATACAGTCAAAAATTTGTCTAAATATCGAGCTCACCAGAGGTGAACAGTGGCTACTGTAGATAGATTGTCTTTCTTGACAGGTTCTACAATGTATCTTTCTTTCCTGAGGGAGGCCAAATACATGGTTGATATAGATCGGTGGCCTTCATAAAGAGTTGGCCACTTAAAAGAAACCAAAACCTTCATACTAAGTTACTTTATTGTAAAGTTTAAAAGATTTGAATAAAATCAGTGAAAATTTGAACAAAATCGGGCAAGGAATAAGAAAGTTAGAGTGTGTGTGTGTGTGTATTGGGTTTTACAGACGTGTATCAATCAGATATGATTATTTACGTCTGGGACCGACTTTAAACGTCACCATCCGAAAGACGTGACTCAGTTTCGAACCTGCGTCCTCGGCTGAATCAGTTTGTAACTTCCGCTTTTTAGCTGGATTACAGGCGCACGCCACAACGCCTAGTTAGAGCATTTTGAAATGACTAGTCACTAGAGGGCGGTATTCAATTTGATGACATCATCTGTGAACAACTCTCCATGCCTTTTGTACATAAAATTTCACAATTTTTTTGTTTCTTCTTATTTATTTGTGTTCTTGATCCGACTTCATAACATGTGAAGTAGAATATCATTTTGCATTCTATATCTTGCTTTCAGGGGAGTACATTATCTCAATCACAAGAAAGAAGGAAAAACATGAAATTTGATGTACAAAAGGCATGAAGAGTTGTCCACAGATGATGTCATCAAATTGAATACCGCCCTCTAGTGACTAGTCATTTCAAAAAAGCTCTTATAGTGTATAGACATAGTTATACCAAATACAAGAAGTGAATTGGCAGCCTCTCGTTTGATCCATTATAACAAATTATGGCAAGCAGAATGGGACAATGCAGAACACGGTAGATTTTATATGCTTTGCATAGCGACGTTTCAAAGCCCATACATAGACAAGGCCTATCTCGCAGAGAAGAATGCTTGATACAACAACTAAGAGTAGGTAACTGTAGTTTAAATTATTACCTTTTTCAAATTAACCAACACGATACTGGTCTTTGTGAAGTTTGTCAAGAAGATGAAACAATTAAACATTTTATTTTCTATTGTACAAAATACGACAAAGATAGACGTCTCTTAAAAGAAAGGATTAAATTGAACAACCCCAATCTGAAACAATTATTGATGTCTAACCCAATTTTTACTCGTGAATTATTGGGTTACATATACGATACTAATCGTTTTAGATAGCTTTTAAAGCTATCAGGGATCCCCTTAACTTATGTCGATCCTGTAATAATATATAAAATGAAGCATTTGCGGTTCTTCCATGAACAATTGCAACTAACTCCCATCTCGCCTTTTATGTGCATTTTATGCAATTTTAATATTGCAGTTTTTTTTTTTTTTTTTTTTTTTTTTTTTTTTTTATAAAACCATATCACTATTAATTTCATTTCACCAAGGAAAGTCGCTCGTGGGCTTGATTCCGAAGCCCACGCCAAAGCTATACACGAAATTGACTGGCGCAAATAATCTTTGAGATTGAAGAGCGCCATCTAAACGAAGAACCAACCAACCATCTTACCTTCTTATTCCTTGCCCGATTTTGTTCAAATTTTCACTGAAATTTTTCAAATATCTTAAACTTTACAATAAAAGTAACTTGGTATGAAGGTTTGGTTTCCTTTAATAATCAAACAAATAACTTAGAAGAGCTCTTTCTCTCTTCTACTTTTTTCTTCTCAAAATGTATGACCCATGCAGGGGGTCTTTTCTCTAAAGAGGACCTACGGTCTAATAGTATGATATTCATATGATATTTTGTAGTTGTGTCCCAAGGGGAGAAGGCACCTACGAGAAAAACATGAATTGATAGGAAAGTTGTCCATGTCTACGTCACAATCAACTGACTTCTCTCTCTCTCATACAGGTGCATATTCACTTACACCCACCTACTCACATACACTATCTCTCTCTCTCACTCCTTTTCTCCCTTGACCCCCTTCTCACTGCCCCCTTTCACCACAGCTCAACCTCTCCATCCCTCTCTCTCTCTTTAACATACACACAACCACCCACCTACGCACATGCAAACATGCACCATCTTACTATCTCTCCCTCACCCCCTTCTCACTGCCTCCTTTCATCACATCTCAATCTCTTTATCTCTCTCTGTTTAACATACAACACCCACATCGCACACAAGCACCCACCTGCACACATACAATATCTCTCTCTCTCTCTCTCTCTTTAATATACACACCCACCTACGCACACGCAAACATGCACCATCTCACTCTCTCTCCCTACCCCCTTTCCCACTGCCCCTATCACGCATTAATCTCATCCACTCTGTTTAACGTACACACAAACACCTGCCTCGCACACTCACACCCACCTACGAACGTACAAACATACACTATCTCCTCTTTCTCCGTTACCCCCTTTCTCACTGCCCCCTCTCAACATCTCAACCTCTTTGTCTCTTTCTATCATAAACACAAACGCACACAAATACACACATGCACCATCTCACTCTCTCTCTCTCTCTTCTCTCTCTCTCTCTCTCTCTCTCTCTCTTCTCTCTCTCTCTCTTCTCTCTCTCTCTCTCTTCTCTCCTCTCTCTTCTCTCTCTCTCCTCTCTTCTCTCTCTCTTCTCTCTCTCTCTTCTCTTCTCTCTCTCTCTCTCTCTCTCTCTCTCTTCTCTCTCCCTCTCTCTATCTTCTCTCTCTCTCTCTTCTCTCTCTCTTCTCTCTCATCCCCTTTCTCACCCCATCTCTCATCACATCTCTATCTCTTCCTCTTTCTTTCTATCTTGAATCTCTCTTCCTCTTTCGTTTTCTCCCCAATGCAAGTTCTGTCACTCCCCGTCTTTCTGGTAATTCCCCTCATAATTCCCCTACTCTTTCTACCAACCACGCTCTCTTCTCTCCCTTCTCCATTCCCCTATTATTTCCTCTGTCTCCCGCCTTCCCTAGATTAATTTCTGATTATTATGACGTTTTTTAGATTACATTTCACAGATTTCCTTATCCAAACTTCTTTTTTTAAAGATCGATGGAAGACGTGATTATACAACTGCAAGCAAATCGAGCCATGTGATTCATCAAAATGCTTATCATTCACAAAAATGTGATCATTGACGGTATTCACAGAACTGTTTTACAATGTCTTCAATTTATTTTAATTTAAAGAGCAATATAATCATCCATCGTATTGGGAATGCTAAAATATCCCTTCTGTGGTGTAATTTTATATTTATTCTTTAATTTATTCATCACCTGCTATGTCATTTTCAATATGCTGGCTGATTAAGAGGAAGGCACAGTCGGCCCCTTCCTCCCTCTCCCTGCCTTCAAAACCCAATAATGGCATCCCTAAATAATTACACAGCCCACACTATGAACATGACTGACAAAGAAAGCGGACAAAATATACAGTTCCTCATGTAGACAAAGGAACATCCCTTCACTGCTATTATGTAAAAATGTGTAGAACAGGTGTCACATGCATATTCACCTTTTTACATAAAAGCAGTGAAGGGATGTTCCTTTGTCTACCTGAGGAACTGTATATTTTGTCCGCTTTCTTTGTCCGTTATGTTCATAGTGCCATAAACTGTGCTCCTGTCGAAAATAGTCGACCAAGCAACCAGTTCCCCTGAAATCGGAATAAGCCTTTTTTCTCGTGATTGTCAGTGAATAGTGCCACTTCCCTTCGCGAAATCCTGGTTGGCCACTCCATGTAGGCTATCGGCATGTCATATAGATTAAATTCAAATTTGTTTCATATAATTGAAATGTAAATTACTTCATGATGGTATTTTTTCCGGAGTCTGCATGTAATGTCCTCTTCTCTGTTCCCGGATATCAGTTTCTATAAAAAGGAAAAGGTAAAGCCAACTGTTATTCGGTATATTGGTAAAGGTTCTTAACTCTCACACGCTAGGCATTGGATTCCTCGCAGGATGCTAAAATCCTTGGACAGGGTATTTTATTCACATTTGTCTCTCTCAACCCAGGAACCTTACATTGTTATGGGCAATGGTGTAATAATTATAACAGGGTCCTTCGGAACAGCAGTATACTGTTGTGCTACCCTTTGAATTTAAAACTATTATCATGATACAATTTTCCTCACTGAAATTCAACATCCAATCTCAGGTACACCAACTTGCAAAAATTGCAATAAATCTGTCGTACCTTACTTTACAAGAAATCGCTTATTTTACTATCAAAATGAGAACAAATTCATACATGACCTCATGCTAATACAGAATATGGACATGCAGATGCTAATGATGATAAATACTATGCTGAATTCATACTCATGTCCATGACAATAAGCAAGAACTTATTACAAATGACACTACTACTTAATAATATAAGGTCATAATATTTCATGAATTTCTCTTTTGTTAGTTACTGATGATGGAATAGATTTCTATTATATATTGTTTATGTAAACAAAACTATTGATTAATTACATCTTATTTGGAAATATCCCTTTGGAGAAAGATCGAATTTCATTTTTTTTTTTTTTTTAGTAGAGCAAATTAGATAGGACCTCAAAATAGGTCGCAGTGTTTTGGGTTTTTTTATAGTTTTATTCCCCCCCAACACAGATGATAACAAATAATTCACAAATTTTTCACAAATAAAGATACATTATATCTATTACAGTACAAACAAAATATGAAAACAATATATTAATACCATCATGTGAAATACATACATTATAATTGCTTGATTTTAGAAATGAAGTTGTAGGAATAAATGTTGTGGAGAAAACTAAATGAATATTCTTACCGTTAATAATAATCTTCAGAGTTGATATCTCGAGTGTAGAAAGAAACTGGAAGGCGAATCATGAAGAGGAAGAACAGTGCGATATAGCGAAGTGAAGAATCAGCACGTGGAGCGCGACTAGCTAGCTAGCGAAACCTTACAGTTCACACTTCCCGAAATTAAATAGAAGACAAATCTAATTTGCGATTCAGTCCTCAAATAAAATGATGAAACTCGCTATTAACGTGAAAACCAATGAGAAAACGCTTGTTGTAAAATCCGAAACTTCCTATAAAACACGTCCGATTGATGAAACTGAAAACAGGAGAAGTGAGTAAAATCCGTGTGTGGAGAATTTTCCAAGTGCGCTAAAAGTGTGATGATTGGCTTATTAAAAAATGATGATTTGTATGAGGAGTCTTTCCATTTTGTGCAATTCATTATGTTTGTTATGCTAATAAAAGAACATTAATTTTTACATGCCATCTACAAGTTCATAGATGTTTTGTTTAATCTTGGAAGTGTGAACTGTAAGGTCGTGTGCCTTCATCATATTCGCGTTTCGCTAGCTAGCTAGTCGCGCTCCACGTGCTGATTCATCACTTCGCTATATCGCACTATTCTTCCTCTTCATGATTCGCTTTCCAGTTTCTTTCTACACTCGAGATATCAACGCTGAAGATTATTATTAACGGTAAGAATATTCATTTAGTTTTATCTACAACATTTATTCCTACAAAGTTAAATTAATGTGGAGAAAACCTTGTTTAAAGCTGAAACAACTAAAAATATTTAAAAGAAAGGAAAAGAAGAAAAAGGTTTTTAAAAAGAGGATGAAAGGAATTCATTCTTTCCCTACCCATTGACGGCAGAAAATCTACACCACTAGCCCAACTTTCTTCCGATCCGAGAACATGGGTGCCCTTGCAGCTCAAAAGAGATATAACTTACTAAAGTAAATTGATGGCTCTGCCTCCGCATCTGCCTCTACTTCCTAGCAAAGAACATTGTCCCATTTTCTAAAATGATTATGTAATGTTCTTCCAGGTTTAGCTGACTTTCTTTCTTATTTATTTTCCTCCTTTTTTCCAAATGTTATGAAAGGTAAGGTTTTTTTTATATATTTTTTTTAACTCTTAAAAAAATCATATATGTAATGATGTGGTTCAATTTACTGTTGCTCCATTTTCACCGATCTCTCTCTCTCTCTCTCTCTCTCTCTCTGTAATTCTTCTGCTTTTGATGCGAATTGAACTTCCCCATATATATGAATCGATATGAATAACTGGAAGGAGACTGTTCAAAATTTGGGCGCAGCGATAACCCAAAGCAAGGAGTAAGCGAAGAATGGTTATTCATACCTATATTCTAGACATAGAGTAGTTCGTTAGGAGAGCCAGCGACATCATCGATAGCACGTTTGGTAGTTTTAGTCATCATCTCTTTCGCGCCCTCCTTCGTCGTTCTAGACTCCGTCCCGTAGAGGGCTATTGCACCTAAAATATAAAGAAAAAGAAGATGGTGATAATGAACATGAAAGAATGAGATCAGTAAAGAGGAGAAGAAAGAGGAAAAAAGAGGAACAAAAAGAACAAGGAAAAGAAGCACAAGAAGATAATGATGAAAACTATAAAAAGAAGGCAAAGAAAAGGAGAATACAAATATTAAGGAATAGCTAGGATCGAGGAGGAGGTGAAGACGAAGAAGAAGAAGAAAGGAGAAGAACAAGAAGAAGAAAGGAGAAGAAGAAAATGAATATTATAACTGTAATGCTATCCTAATAACGCAATACACACGTGAACAGAAAAAAAAGTGTAGATAGGAAGTATTATACTTATAACAACGATTAATTCGGAGTTTTGTAATTGAGGGAAAACCAGATATAAGACTTACCAGCGACGTGAGGGCAAGCCATCGAGGTCCCACTCATGACCATAGTTGTGGAGTCAGTTAACTTGCTGCGGACCTGATGTTGGATCCAGGAGCAAAGATGTCCAAGCAGCTTCCATAGTTGGAGTAGGGGCACGTTTGTCACGTTCGTTTGTTGCTCCTACGGTGATTGCCTGCGTAATTTCAAGAGACACGAATCACTGATACATACCGACTCGAAAATTGGCGTAATAATAGACCGGAAGCTTTTCTGATAGAGAAGTTGTTTCGCTGAGACTATTATGTCTGGCTCCACTGTCGACCGCCTCTATAGTCTATACAGTATGGGGAATGTTGACAAAATTAGTTTTATTAAAGAATTCCCCATACCAGAAGGTTTTTTTTCTCTCTAGATACTAATGATTAATGATTAGCAAACTTCTCTTACGTGACATTAGCGATAATAAAATAAAATGGCGCTTGTTATAAACATGTTGTTGTATCAAAGATACATGTGAAGTTTAATTTCATATTCTGTCTGTGAATTCAGATGAATTTATTGTGGATATCCGACCGGAATCCTAATCGATGTATACCTGTCAAATCCGATCTGCGCCGAAGCACACAATCACGTTCAGAAGCTGTCTATTGACATAATTATGTTTGTCGTTAGGGAGAGATTAAATTGCTGGTCAGGATGTAGGAGAAAATAATAAGTCTCAGCATTCTTTTTAATTGTCGGTGTGAGCTGATGGGGAATATGTAATGTACAAAATCAAGAAGAAGGCGAGCCGAACTTACAGTTGGAACTCGAGCTGGAGAATAGTAGCAAGCATCCTGGTTGGAATTACCGGCAGCCGCGGCGACTGGAACTCCATCTGCGATAAGTGCCTCAACGGCTTGGTCCTGAGTGGGTGACGCACCTCCTCCGATGGACATTGATACAACATCCATCCTGCTATTAGCGTACTTCGCCACATAGTCAAGTCCTGCAAACAGGAAATTTGGAGTCAAAACTTGAGAACGGAGGGATTAAAAAAGATGGCCCTACAGGTATTGTTTATCTAGAAAATATGCCACGAAACGATTACACGAAGAGTTGCTAATGACCGCTGCTGTTGTGGCTTTGTTTCGATAATTGCTATGAGCAGGGCCTCTGACCCTGCATAGTATATAATTAAACGCGATGTTTGCTTTTTTGGGGCACTTTTGTGCGACACCACTCTCAGCCTGCCACTGATATGTCGCCGTCCTATCTGCAGCAGGCAAAATGTGTCGACGGGTATATAGTCCGATAGAAGTTTTTCAGACCCGAAAAGTAAAAAAAAAAAAGAGTACAAGTTTTTGTTGTTGATTCGTGTTCTAGATGGGTTAAGAGGTAAATTCAGCTTGGTTGCCATCTTGGCAACCTTGGGCAACTTTTTGTATAAGCCTAATTAGCATAATCATCAAAATAACATGTATGCAATATTATGTTGCTTATCTTAACCCGGGAAGCCTAAAAACATGGATAATACTCTTTTTCAAGGGTTTTCTATGACGAGGAATTCATTTATGACACCGGTTCTTATTTTCCAGTAATGCAATTGTCTTAAATAGCATATAATACCATAATGAGCTAATTCATATGTACAATATATGGACTTCATTCTCATTGTTTATCTAGAAAGCCTGAAAATGGTGCACTGCAACATTGTAAATCACTTTTTAAAGACAACACATTAATTCATGAGAAGATATTCCTTTTAGATGTAGTACAAATAGCCTAATTAACATAATTAGTAAATTTGTATATTTGCATTTATTGATATAGGTCTAGTGTTATCCAGAAAAATCGGAATGACAATTTTTATGTGTATTTTTTTTTTTAATGACAACCATTTTTATCTCAGAGGTAATCATGTTGAATGAAAAATAATTAGCCTTGCTAGAATAATTAACCTAATTAGCATATTAATCAGGCAATTGCCTAATGGCCTTGTGGATTTCTGTCCAACAAGACAGAATACATAGGTATTCTTTTTTAATTTTCCACTGTAACCACGGGCCGGCTGGTTGTGCGTATTATAACCAACGCGAAAAAGCCAACAAAAGGCCAACATTGGCATTTGCTGTAGTAAAACGTATGAGGCGCTATATCTCGTTTCTTTCAACGGCTGGTTCAAAAGTAACGAATATTTGTGGGGCCCCAAAAATATTAGAAATATGTATATGGATATTTCAGCCGTCTTTAAACCGATTTTGATCAAACAAAGATGATTTGTCATTTAAATTGTATGCTCTTTCAAATGTGACACTCAGTTTGTCATTGTCTCACAAAAAAAATTGTGTGTAGCGCCCTCTTAGCTCTATACCAGAACTCAACTATCCTTTCATATGCCTGACAGTCCATGAATGGGGACTTTTAGATTTTGCACAACGGAGAACGTGGACTGCCCGTTTAAGACACTGGCAGTGACGTCACATTGCCTTAAAAGGGCAGTCCACGTTCTCCGTCGTGCAAATCTAAAAGTCCCTATGTCGTAATGGAATCAACGCATCGTGTTTAAAGGGTCTTACTTATTACCTGCCATGATACTTGCGGAGGAGCCAATTCCATTACAATTCATAACCTTCACTGCATTTACAGTGACTTGATTAGCCACACCAAGCGTAGTACCTCCGATAGTTCCACAACAATGAGTTCCGTGTCCATTGCAATCTTCCTGATGTAAGAAACAATATCGTGAGCTTATATTTAATTAGAAGTACATGATTTCAACGAGCCGTTAACATAAATATGGTTCTCGATAACCATTAGGCACGGGGTGGTAATTTCGTTTAAGCCGGTAATAGCGCTAAGCCTTGCAATCCCAGGGTTTGATTTACAATATTTACAGTATTCGCAATATGGAATATAATTATGAGAGAGAAGACAAAAGCGTACATACCTTTATAGGAAAAACATAAGAATAATCCGATAGTTAGCTATTTTCCGATTTGGTCAGAAATTAGGTCTTTACTTTTAGGGTTGATGTAGGTTCAGAGTTAAGAGCGATGTACAGAGTTGAGTCCAGTAGTAAACTTAGGAATTTCAGTGACCGTGATGCATTAATTGGCGGATAACAATTTTGTCGAGCAATGATATGCGGATCGAAGACCCCCCCCCCCCCCTCCCTCATCCCTTTAAGAGGATGGTGGTCTCACCCCGGATTTCAAATCGTGTAATTATTATCACTTTTCATTGTGTAACCCTTGTTAATTAACAAGCAGGCATATACATCAGAGCGAAAACTGATCAGGGGTGCATCATTGACAGCAGGACCTACTGAACATGTTGCCTTCTGGGGGTGTAAGTTACGATTTCTGTAGGGCTTTATTATGTTGATGGTACTAGCTCAGATGAAAATTTATACGCGGTCAACTGCAACATCGATCTAGGTTCAAAATGAAAACAACAGTAACTGAGTTTTTCAATCAAACAAGGAAACTATTGAAAGACAAGTTATCAAATAAAAATTCAAAAATCCAGCTCAGTTGCAATGCGACTTTGCAGCGTCGATGGACATAGGTTTTGAAGCCGAACTTTAAAATGAAGAGAAGGTAAAATTGGCTTGTGTAGCAAATAACATGTGAAGGACAACAGTGCAAAATTAATCGCAGTTCCAAAAGTTTTAATCGAGTCTAAAAAAACTTCAAACATTTTATTGAATACTAATGAATTAAAAAGAGAGCACCTTATACAACGCGGTCGGTCAGATTGAAATCTAGTAAAACTATTTAATAAACTGTGCATTCATGGTAAATTTGAATTTGCTGATGGCATTATAAATAAATCACAACAACTTAAATCAAAATCATCCCAAGAGCGTATGGCTGAATAAAAACATACACTAAAAGGTTATTTATATTGGAAATACATTGATCGCCATTGGCTCGGTTGCAATGCGACCCCCCCCCCCCCGAGAAGAAGTTAGAGCCAAATAATATATTTATAATAATTTATATATGTGTGTGTGTGTGTGTGTGCGTTCAGATACGTCATTTCCTTTGTATTCTTGCATCGCAATTTTTCACACCTATATAAACTAATATTAATTTATTTATTTACTTATTTATTTTATTAATTTAGATGTATTTGTAATTTGAAATGCTATAGGGTGAATGCCCCCTTCGCCCTCTCCAGCGGGATTTAAGATTAAACAACCATGCAATTGATTCAATTGAAACTACATGTGTTTGGAATCTGACTCACGTCTCTCGAGTCAACAAAGTTCGCCACAATCTTAGCTCTAGATCCCGCTGTTCCTTTAAACTGTTCGTGGGTACTTCTGACACCCGTATCGAGCACCCACACGGTGGCGCCCCTTCCTCCTCCTGCAGGGGGGAATAGAAGTTAACAATCAACCATCAAAAGTCTTGCGTGTCAGAATGGAGAAAGTGTGGTCCCCCACCCCACCCACACCCTCTCACACACACCCTGACACACACACACACACGCACACACACACATATACACGCACACAAACACACACTTCAACCAAGAAAGAAACAACATTATATCCCTTTTTGTTAGTTAAGTGAGGAAATTACTATATTATAGTCCTTACAGTGCCCTTTCAGGGAATCTGATCTCGGGGGGGGGGGGGGGTATACGGATTACCCATATTTGGTTTAGCCATGTGCGGCTCAATACTCCAAAACCATATCCATTTTGAGGATAGGATAAGTAGAAAATAGGAACATTTTGGATGAAAAAGCGAAAACATTTCATTGATTTTGCATCTGGGATCAGTTGCACTTTAGCGATAATATTCATGGTGGAGGTATCATTCTGCAAAAAATAATAACCCATGTTCAAGGCGAAGATTTAAAGTGTACCAATCACCTTTAAAATAATGTGTGAACAGCTAGAATATATAAATTGCACCTACTAAATAGTTCACTCTGCATTTTGTGAGCCAACGGACAAGAAGTACGAAGAAAATAATAATAAAACAAAATTGCGCATACGAAACTGAAGTCGCACTCGGTCCCGCGCGGACCGCAATTTTTTTTCATTCACCCATGCCATTTTGTTTAATCATTCATCAGTAATGCCATAGATACGCAGTACGCATACGCATGACTTGTATTCGCTCGCTAGCCCGCTCAAATCGGTTATCGGGCGATGATGTGGAGTGCGCCCCCCCCCCCCCCCCCCCCACTCCGGGAACAGAGGGACCGCATTCAAGTTCCCAAAATGTCCGGTAAAGGGGTACTTTTCACGCAAAAAGTCCGGCTCGTAACTCACACAAAATCGGCCCGTATTGAATTTACACACCGGACTTAATTAGGGGTTGTTTTCAAAGGGAGGGAACATGCATATGCGTACCCTAAATAACACTGAGGTGTGTGTGGGGGGGGGCCGAGGCATAACCCATTCTTACCTGATATATGTGGTGTATAAGCGTCGTCGAATGATTTAGGAGTGCCGTGATCTATACGGTCAATGCCCCAGGAGAAGTCACCAATCTTGGCTTCTGCTTGAACACGGGAAACACCGTCCTGCTCAACGTACTCCACACCGGGTAGACCGCGGACCTGTCCCATTAATTCGAAAGTATCTTCTTTTTATAAAAAAAATTCAGACAGTTTTCAATAAAGTCTCCGCTTATTGCCCGGCGGCGTCATTTTTTCTGCGGCACAGCGGATTGGGGCTTTTTTTTTATTTAAAGAGGTCTTGATTTAACCCTCACCCTAACCCTAAACTTTACCATAGGCTCAACACGCACCTAACCCCAATCTGTGCCGCCGAAAAAAATAACCGTGACGCTGCCCGGCGGGTGGTCGATCAAGATCCCAGTATCTAACCGCATGGATAATATATACTGGGTAGCTTGACCGTTGACCGAATATGAGCATATTTGGGCACCTCGCTCCCCGAATATACGAGGTTTTCGATCGCTGCACGAATATTGAGAATTTCCTATTTCTAAGGGGGGGGGGGGTGGAAGCTGCGAGCAGCGATCACCCCCCCCCCCCCCCCCCCCCCCCACTCCGAGAACGGACGGACCCCATGCGTGTAGACAAACTGTCCGGTAAAGGGGTAAATTTCGTGCGACAAAGTCCGGCCCGAGAATTGTAAAAAAAAAAAAAGGGGTGTATTAACTTTTCAACCGGAGATTTCTTTAAAAAGGGGGTGTTTTTTCGTTTTGTTTTCTCTCATCTCTTTGGACTCCTGAGAAATTATTCTGAATTCAGGGGGGTACATTGAGCATTTTTCCGAATTTAGGGGGGTCTCCAAGGCAGGAAAAGCCCGCGAAGAGCCCGCGAAAGGGGGGTTAGGAAATGTTGGCGGTCCTCAGATAGGGGGTGCTTTCAAAAAGAGGGAACAAGCATACGCGTACCCTAAATAACACTGAGTGGAGGGGGGGGCGGGGCGATCGCCCCTTCCCAGACCCTTCATATTCGGGCTCCCGCCCCAATTGCTTTGTACTGTTAAAACAAATTATATACAGCGCAAATTAGTGAGGTGCTCGGAAGATACTTTACAGTGTTGTTTGATTGATTGCAATTGCAAAAATAACTTTCTTATTTCTAATCGGAATTTGCTCAAACTTTTACTGACCTGTTCCTCTAATTTTTCTGCTTTTATTAAAACCAACTCAATATCAGGGTAGACTTCCCCTTTAAAACAATTCAATCGCATAGATTTTCAGAAAATCAACTCAGTGAGGGCCAGTCCAATACACTTCAGCGTCGGAATATTGCCCGCACATTTCAAAAGGTGATATGATCAAGTCTATCGAAATTGTAGGGTGATTTCTCGAAAGTGTTTGTTATCGTGTTCAACTTACGATATCGAGGACACGGTCGGATAATTCGGCGGAGAAAGCATTGATAACGTGTCTGAAGATATGACGAACATGGCCCCCAGATAGACGAACGGTCGCGGTCATCTCGTCCACATTGATTTCATCCTGGAAAAAAAAGTTACAAAACCATGAAAACGATTCTTTCATTTGTTTTCTGTACGAATTTCCTCTTCTTTTCCCCTCGAATCGTTGTTAAAAATATTAAATGGCAAAATATGTGACTTTATACACTCAATTATCTTTATTAGTACACTATGATTTAGGTTTTTGTTATCGCGTTTTTTAAAGGAAAATTGATAATGGTCCTATACGTTTGGATTAATGTTTGTGTGAATTTAATTGAATATGAATTGAATTACGTTAAGAACTCCTAGACATGGGGTAAAAATGTTCCTCTAACCCCCCCCCCCCCCCCCCCCCCACCCGGCGGCAATTTTCAGAATCAAAAGGTATGCCCAACTGGAAATGTTCATCTTCTTCTCCAGCTTTTCCTCCCTTTTTTCTTTCTTTCATCTCCTCCTTCACCATTTTCTTCCTCATTTTTTTATATATTTTTTAGCTCGTCTTGTAATAGATTTTCCAGCTAACTTCTCGACAAATTTGGTCTGACATCACGCACCCGACCATTCAAAATAATCTAAGCTCCACCCTGATCGAGAACCAGTAGAAGTAATGTGTGGGATGGTCTTCCAGGCGATGTTGTGGAGAGTACCACTATGAATCGTTTTAAATCTGGACTTGAGAAATGGTGGAAAGATGCCCCAGATAAATATGATGACAACCCCAACCAAACGAAACCATGGATAGGAACAACAGTCCAAAGACTGAATAATCCTGGATCAAGTGAGTTACAAGTGAGTTACAACATTGACATTTAGGGAAACAAAGAAAAAATGTCACATAAATAATTACTTGGCTGTAGAAAAAGGCTCTCCATATACATTTAAACCCATAAATGATCGACAAATATGCATATTTAAATAATTTGATTATCTACCTTAAGTTTGATGATATACTTCCCTGGGATGGGCTCGACGTTCTCCACTAACGGAGCCAACTCGGCATGGGCAACAGCCACCAAAAGAAGTGTTAGAAAAGCACGCATATTGACTGAGTTAAAGAGATATGGGAAATAAAAAATGTAAGAATACATAATCTTCATTCTATAATCTATACTCCTGTCTGGTAGGCCACCCGTTTTCCACTTTGCATTGTTTACTTATGTATATTAGTTACATGGACATTTTATTTAAGATGAGGACGTCAACGTAACACACAACCACCGATAAGAGATATACACACTGGTAAAAAGTCCGACCCACACAACACGCTCATAACCCAAAGCTCGACTTTTTGTTATACGAAAGATGAAAAGATACGCTACTTAAATGTAAATATAAATGTTTGAACGACACTTTCTCTTACGACTATTGCTCCGAGATAATTTCCTACAATAAACTAACGTTAACATTTTGACAAGCACTATACTAGCTAACCCTAAACATAACCTAAAACCCTATTAAAACATGAACTCTATAACCATTAAAAAAAAAAACATCATTGACAAAATAGAGCCGGGAGCAATAGTCACTGGAGCTTTATGTTAGGGCACCAAGAAAAAGCATCTTACCCGTTTTGGTGGCTTATGATGATCTTGAAGAGAGCTTCGGAAGGTCCTCAGAGTGATGATCTAGTTGGGCACTGATCAGATCTGGTGATAGGCTTGGAGAAACGATCTCTACTTAAAGTCTATTTTGAACAACACATTTTTTTTTCCTACGTCACACATGCCCGTAGCACGTGTCTATAATCTCATGTCATCCTAAGAATTGGATACGTGCTCCCCCAAAAGTGCTTATCCAAGCAATATCTTTTATACCCATGATTTCATTTTTGCTTATTATGCACTTCGTGTAATTAAAGCTCATATTGAGTTGATGTGTTAATCGAACCATGTCGAAAGAAATTAGGTAATAACTGTTGTTAGTTAATGATCATTATTATAGTAGAGGTGTAATTGGGGCCAATGAGAAATAAAATAACTAATGAGTAAAACATGCTAAGAAGAACACAAACTGAAAATCGCAACTCACATTTTTCCAAAGGAAAACTTACGAGATAGGTCTGAGGGGGCTTCACCCCCCCCCCCCATGCCCGGCCCGCCTAACAAGCTAACAAGAAGAAAAAAAACACTTCCAGTTTTCAGTTCTACCCCCTTCCCCTCCATCGAGATTTTGTTCGGTCAAAATTATTCGCTACAGACTGAAACCGTAGACTCCAACCTTGTCTGGGGTAAACTGATATATAATATTTTCCCTTCTCACTGCACTTGTGGAAGAGGTCGACTGTGGCAGTCCATGTACTGCCCTTGCCATAAGTCGACTGCAGTGACCACTGCTACTCAAAGGAAGGAGATCATGTTCGTCCGAAGAAAAAAGAAGATTTGTCCAAACATAAATGTTTAGAATTTGCGACGATTGGACAAAAATATCAGTGCTTTTTAAACAAAACCTGTATCTCTTCGCTATTCATACGGACTTGTCCATGCTTTTAATTTATCTTGAGTTGAACAAACACTCCTTATGGACATAGCACACGCCATATTTTGTTTCACACGGTTGTCGATTGGATTCAGCAATTTATGTGTACAGCGTGAGTAGACAAAAAGTAAAAAAATAAAGAAAACGTAAAGAGAGAAAGAAAACCATATTCAAATCCCGATTAGCCTCTGACAAAACTTATGCATCCCTCATCCATATTGCATAATTATATACGAAAAAAAAAACACTTCCAGTTTTGGAATTACGTTAATGGGATTAAATTTCGGGATTTTGCTCTTGTCCCTTCCACACATACATAATAATAATTTTTACTTTGTTCTCAGATCTAAAATTACGCTGGACAAAGTGAGTCCATTTTTCATTTTCCTTGGGAGATGCAACCCCTCATTCATGACCTTAACATTTCGTTTTCTAAAGATTAAAAAGACGACAAAATATTGTTGATCTTTTCGGGTGACTATTATGTAGAAAAAATATGTACCTATCTTATCAAATATCAATGCGATATTATTGTGAGCGAATTATTCATGATTACTGGTCGAGTTACTTTTCTGTCTCGGATATATTCTTGCGCCATACTGGACCCGTTCAAGAAAAACAATTCAACTTGGAAATCTGTTCAGTATTGCCCCATTGCATACATGCATGCTTCAATTTCCTTGTCTTTTTCATGGATTAGGCCTAACAACTGTATCATATATTCATAAAGGGTAACATCTCTCAAACTCCTTGCGTCTTAATTTCACCCACTTATGCAATTTCTATCTAGTTTGTTGGCAAAAGGTCGAGAGTTTAATGATCATGGTAGAGGACCCAACATTAAAAAAATCTCCTACTTCACTAGTTAAACTAAATCGATAAGTGAAACTAAAATCTGTCCCTTTTTAGAAAAATAGGTAATAAAATAATAATAATTATCTGGTTTTATCGAAAGCGCTAAATACGGAATACCGTCTCTAAGCGCTTTACAAATAGTATTACCCCGGTCATCGAGTAGGAACGAATTTTAACTAAAGAACCTTTTACAAATAATTTCTAACTATTTCTACCTGCTACATGCTTTTTACTACCGGTGACATTTGCAGAATAATTTATCAGTAATGATACAGAAAGAAAATATGATTAAAGCGTCCAAGGTCCAATATTATATTCGAAAGGCAGTATTTGTCACATATGGGCAGACCATTATCATCTTCTTCGTATTTACACCTTCAGAAAACGCAACGAGTATGTTATCAAAGTTGATAACAATGTCTCATCTGTTTGCTCAAAATAAATGAGATAGTATCTCATAAAGCAAAAGAAGTATGCACATTCTCCCTGGGGAGCATTCCAGCCAGGCGTCTTTTTTACAAGCACACACTTGCTAATCTAATCACATTAGCTTTCGCCTCCTACCGGGTACCCATTTAACACCTGGGTGGAGAGTGGCAAATGTAGATCAATGTCTTGCCAAAGGACATTAGTGCCGCGGTGGGACTTGAAATATGGATTTCATCACATTCTTTACACTGTATTATTACAATATCATATTGTTATATATTGTGTAAAACATTGATAATGACCATTTTATTTAAAGACTTGTCGGATTCGCGACCCCCATCACCCCCTCTCCTTTCCATGCGAAGTCTTTCCATATATAGTTGGTCAATTATAACATGTATTTGGACCAAATATTGTAAACAAAAGAATTAGTATAATATGACGGTATATTACACGGTCTGTCTGGAAGGGTTATGTCAGACCCTATTACTGTTCCCTGATCCTCAACAGCCCCCCCCCCCTCCCCACCCCCAACACAAGAAAACACACACCCACACACGTTGGTGTGATCTTGCAGTAAGGGTCCATGGACCAAAATTTCCCTCGGGAGGAATGTAGCGGATTAGATTTGAACTATTGCAATCTCCTGTGATATATCCAATAGACGGATTTAAGTTTTAAGATTCAAGCTTGGTTATATATGGCAGAGAGTTTGGTGCCAATTTTTTTAAACAGTCATATTCAAACGAAGTAATTTACCTTTAAAACAGTAACACGTGCAAGAAAGGTATTAAAAAAAACGCGATGGGTTCAAAAAATAAGAAGGAGATGAAATTATACTTTGCCCGTTTTAATCTTCTTTCTCCATGTTACTGCCACACTTTCAAAGTCGCTATCACATTATTTAAATTGAATGTGGATCTAATCAAAGAGATATTATGTAGTATCTCTTTGATCTAATCATCATTGCATCGATGAGAAAGATGCATCTGCTTTGGTCCAGAACAGGTAAACCGGTTTTAGCCAGTAAAATGTACTACCGTTGGATTTTTCACTTCATTACCTTCATGCCTTGAGTTAACCTTTTTCACACGTGCCGTGGGTATGGAATATATAATTTTACCCCAAACAACGTGGCAGTCTACAGTATAAATCCTTAGCGAAAAATATTGACGAAACAAAATCTCGATGGAGGGGGGAGGGGTGACACCCCTCGTATGTCTCTCTTTGCAAATGTGAGTTGCGATTATCAATGTGTGTGCTTTCGAAGCGAATAATCTTGACCGAACAAAATCTCGATGGGGGGAGGGGGGTAGAGCTTGTTAGGTGGGTCGGGGGGGGGGGGGGGTGAAAGTCTCTCAGCCCTGCCTCGTAAGTTTTCCTTTGGAAAAATGTGAGTTGCGATTTTCTGTTTGTGTTCTTCTTAGCATGTTTTTTACTCTTTAGTTATTTTATTTCTCATTGGTCCAAATTACATCTCTACTATAATTATGATCAATAACTCAGAACAGTATCCAATTTCGTACGGAATGCAGTTCGATTGACAGATTAATTCAAGATGAGCTTTAATTACACGATGTGCAGAATAAGCAAAACTGAAACAATGGATTTAAAGATATTGCTTTGATAAGCACATATTTTTTGGCACGTATCCAATTTTAAGGATGACATGAGCTACACATGAGTCGGGTACGTATATGACGTACAAAAAGCTCAGTTTGTTGCAACTTTAAGAAGAGCTTCTTTCACGAAGCCTATCATCAGAGCTGATCAGTATTCAACCCGGTCATCACTCTGAAGATCTTCCGAAACTCTCTTAAAGATCATCATAACCCTAAACGGGTAAGGTGCTTATTCTTGGTGCTCCGGGCTCTATTTTTAAAACAATTTACACATAGCGATAGGGTTAGAGTTTTTATTGTGTTTCAGGTTATGTTAAGGGTTAGCTAGTATAGTGCTTCATCAAATGCTGAAGTAAGAAATTTGGTTAGTGTAGGAAATCAACGCGGACCAATATTATTGTCACAGGAGGAAGTGTCGTACAAAATATTTGCACCTACTATCATGTAACAAAAATCGGGCCTTTGCGGGTGTGGTGGTGAGCGTGTTGTGTGGGTGTGGATTTTTTTTTGTGTGTGTGTATATCTTGTGTGTGGGTGTGCGCAGCTCACATCATATTTGCATGGGCGTCGTCTTAATTTACGCGTAAACCAATGACCTCTAGAGGTCAGTGGTTTATTTACATACATGCCAACATTTGAAAATCAGAAATCTGTACAAATTATGCTAATTTCAAAAAAAAGAGGAACAATCCTAACTCTCCTATTCAATACTACAGACAAATTTGTACAGGAAGAGGAACACCTGCATTAAAATGATAATTATCTTCTCCCAAAAAGAGGAATGTTCCTCTTTAATCTGAACAGTTGGCATGTATGTATTTACCCGTCAGTTAAAATGGCGCCCATGTCTGCGCATGCGCACTGTTGTAAGCGTAAACTGGTGTATGCTTGATATTAAGCAAATAACTACCGTTGGTGAAGGTGATGGGACAAACTATGACTTCCGAGGCGGTCTGGATGTAGCTTTTTCCGAAGCGAAGCTATATATTCAGATCGCCGAGTAAGTGATAGTTTGCCATCGCCTGAAACCAAAAGGTCATTATTTGCTTTATATTCCACATCGGAAACATTTCCCTTCTTCTGTCACTTTAGAGCAACGAGTCATCAACGAACATCAAGCCAACGGTGTACGAAACGTAGTGACGTATGCAGTATGGTGGTGTGACCAAAGATCGCTGTGTAGAACTGTAGATAGTACTTCTATCTTCAGTGAAAGTGCGTTGCATTGTGCAGATAGTTCTACTATCTGCACAGTGCAACGAACTTTTCTTCACCCATCAATAATGGGCGAACTATCTTTCA